GATCCATATGACCTAAACTTCGGGTACCAAGCACGAAGTTTTTTTCTCCGTATATGAAGGAGAGAAAGTGTGTGCCCCCCCCCCCCCCCCCCCCNTTGTGGCAAGCGCTAAGCTACAGCTTGCCCTGTCACTGAACCCACCGTGCGTCGTGCGTCACTGAATTGGACGTATTTCTGCGAAACGGAACTACGTGCATTATGACGTGAGCCCTGTTACGCATATTTTCTTATAGATCTCAGGGCTCATGTCTTAATGCACATAGTTCCGTTCGATAGAAATATGTCCATTTGAAGGATTCATATCTTCCCAAGTCATAGAGAGAACCATTGCCTCTGATCGGTCTGTTAGTCACGATTTCCCTTTGTTTTACTTATTGCAGTCTGCCATAATGCGATGCATTCCCACCTCAACGAAAAATTTGGAAAAACTGTAAGTGAAAATGTGTTGCGTGCGTAATTTACGAATGGCATGACCCCCTCCCCCCTCCCTCAGCGCGTTATAAGTTACAGGGGCGGCAAAATCTTGACGGCTTAGAGGCGAAAGTTTTTGACCATGCTCCGGAGCTAGAATAGTTGTGCGCTTGCCTCACGCATTCAACGTTGTCAGAATGCCTGCATCAGCATGGTGCTCACAGTCATAAACATCAGTAATTTGAGACAAGTGAAAAGCTAGGAGCTTCCTTCATTTCCGCGTGATACCACATAACATACCTACTTCGGTTGATAATGAGACTCACTGAATGAGTCTGGAGTTCAAATAGTAGCGCGCTTGATTTCCATTTTTGGTGATCCGATGGACGCCATATTTTCTGTTAAAATGACATGCGATACATCGCATCGATTGGTTCCATTTCCTCAGCTACTCGTCATTTTTCTCGAAATTTGAGATAGCAATTCTATCGTCAAGAGACTGAAGAATTCACTTACCAATTTTGGCGAACAAATTCAACGTAATGTAGGCGTGGTTTTTGCAGAGAGATAATATCGCATGCGAGTGCAGTTTCGATTACGGTATCAAATGCTATATATTTTCTCTAAAAAAACCACGCATTTATTGCGTTGAATTTGTTTATAAAAATTGGTAAGTGAATTCTTCAGTCTCCTGACAACAGAAATGCGATCTCGAAATTCGAGAAAAATGACAAGTAGCTGAAAAAATGGAACTAATCGATGCGATGTATCGCATGTCGTTCTGACACAAAATGGAGCTTCGAATTCTAGACAAGTGAGGAGCCAAGATTTTCCTACATTTCCGCGTGATACCACATTTCATACCCACTCCGGCTAACAATATGAGTCCGGTGAGTTCGAATAGTTGTTCGCTTGATTTCCGCTATTAACGAGCATAATGCCTACTAAAGGTCAGCGATTTGAGATAAATGTCAAGCTGAGATTTTCCTTCATTTTAGCGTGATACCACATCATATACCTAAATCGGAGCAAGGCCGGGTTAATCCATAGGCCGCGGCCGCTGCCTACAGCAGAAAATATTGGGAGCAGTGAAAAATTTGCAAAGAGATGAACGAGGGTTAGGCGCCTGAATTCAGATTGCCATTTGGGTTGGCGATTTTATTCAAAACAATCAGCTGCAAGATGATGACTAATATAGACCGCAAAATAGATGATGAAAAGTCCGAAAATCCACGTTAAAAAATGTGTTGGGTACATAATATACTAACGGCATGCCCCCCTCCCCCCTCCCGCGGTGAAAATTCGTGGGGGAGACAAATTCTCAGCCCAGGGCGCCAATTTCGTAAATATGGCCATGGTCGAATGTCGAGGATGAGGTCAGTATTACTGCCGTGCTATGTAAAAACGCCGTATGAACCTTCAGGCGTGGCCAAATTTCCTTTGATAAAACACGAATTTCCTGGTGAAAAAATGAATATTTTCCTTACGATTTTCCAGATAATTTTGTTCGCAATTTCACTTAAAGTTCCTGAAAATTTCAAGGAAAAGTATTCATGACCTACTTTAAAAATAAATATTTTATCAAATAAAATTTGGCAACTCTCGAATGTTCATACGGCGTTCTTCCTTAGCATCGGCAGATTAGGCCTTAGAGGAGATCGGAAATGACTAAATCATGATGTCGTCACCTTCCGGCCCAAGTATCAAAAGCGCAATGCGACGTTTAAAAATTTCCGCCGTCATATTTAATTTTTTTTACAGAAAAAGCGTTCAACGACGCTGTCCGAAAATTTCACTGAATTTTTATTTGTGCTGCCGACAAAACTCAGTGAAATTTTCAAACAGATTCAAGCAACATTTTCTCTGTTAAACGTCTCGTGACGCTTGTGATACCTCGGCCGGAAAAAGACGAATTGTGGACCGCAAAACGTGGAGCTCCAATGAGCAAAAGATCATAGAGTCGAAGAAATTCAGGGTGGGCCCAAAAACGGCCCTTATTCATACCCCATATTCTCTGCAATGGAATGCATGGGAACATTAGATCCTCAATTTTGAAATGGGGGGGGGGGATCATGAAGCAATTTCCGAAGTTTCTCGAGGAATTCTAGGATAATTGTTACGGAATGCCCCTGAAAAATTGTTTGAAGTTCAAGGAGAACGAAATTTTACTTTTCAACAAATTTCACATGAAGATCAGGGACGGATTAGACTTCTAATGGTTTCGATTAGTACCATAAAAGAGATTAAAACTAAAGGAGTCCCCCAAAGGAGCTAAATGAGAAAATGACTTGCTATTAAAATTAAACCTGTGATTTAAATTAAATTATCCTGTGAAGTTTCATTTTGAATCTCTGTTCCTATCCCGTGTTTGTTTGTCGTACGTATAAAATCGGCAACGTTTCGTCAGTAGGTATAGCAGCGGTCGACTGCTAAGAGCCCGTCAATTTCTGCGCTACTTACTTCTTCTAGTTCTTCTATTGATGATCATTTTCCCCTTCAAAATTTCAAAAGACATCGTCTCTGGAATCTTGAAGGACTCCAAAAAAATTGTAAAAAATACGATAGTGAAATGCAGGCCCGCCACATCCCATCTCGGGCCCTGGTACCAGTTTTAAGGTCCGGGCCCCAATCACGGAGGGGGGGGGGGGTCCGAAGGGCATCCCCGAGAAATTTTAGAATTTATACGACTAATCGGACGCATTTTGAAGCTTCCGTAAAGAATTTTTCCATCAATTTCTGCGGAATAATTATGTTTTTTTATTTTTTTTTGGGGGGGGGGGGCACATGATACTATTTTCAGTTCTAAGAGGGCCAGGCCCCCCTGGACCCCCACTTCGTTTGTCTATGGCAAGGGAGTTGAGCCATGAGCAATTGAAGTCGAGGATGCCCAGACTGGAGACCCTTAGCATCTGACGACGGAAGAAAATGAAACGCAGTTACTAATAATATCCCTCTGTGCTGAAAATCTTGAAAATAGATAGAAATTTTCCAAGAAGTATACTTCTTTGAATATTTAAGAAGAATTCTACAGTGCCCCAGCGTGTTTCTGAAAATCTATTCACCTTTTGCGAAATTTTTAGGGTAAATTTTTCAGTTTTTCTTACGAAACAAGGGTTGCATGTGAATTCGTAGTGGTTTTTCACGGGTAACACGGGCCCCCTCCGGGGCCCGGGCCCCGGTACGAGGGACCCAGTACCCCCCCCCCTTGTGGCGGGCCTGGTGAAATGCATCTCTGCAGCTGACGGATGTTACGCTGAATTGACGCAAAGTAAAGCATGAGTACCTAAGGGAGCGCTATAAGTATCCATTGAAATTCATTATGTGATGAAATTAACCAAAAAATTTGCAGTTTAACTCAAATTCCATTTTCGATCTCTCTTTCGATTTGTGCTGTCAACTGCATGTGAGTGTGACGCTTGCCGAAAATGCGACGCGATAATTAAGACGTGACATTAACAGTAAGTAACGCCTCTTGACACAAAACAACTATACCGGCTTTCTAGATATCTGTGTTGCGTGCTGTGAATTTGAAGGCGCGCTGACAGTTCCCGCGTGTGCACGGCTCTCATGTTGAAAACATTCTTCATTTAGGCTCAGGTTGATTCGTTAGGGAAATGTTTAAACATTTCTCCAGGCCCTACACTCCTCTCTGAAAGTGGCGCGGTAAATTATAAACATCACCTGTGCAACATTTTAATCGAATTGGAGAACAAAAAGAGTTTGTCCAGCGTAGGCGCGGCCTCCTATGTTTGTGACAAATCCATACATCCGTTGTCAGAATCAGGAACGATGGATTCCTGATGATACTTTTTGCATGTAAGTGAAACACAGAAATTGGAAAGTAAGTGACATTTAGGAACGAAAAATTCGAGGGTCCCTCCACAAAATACGTAAGGCACTTGGGGGGGGGGAAGGGGGGTGGTTCAAACGCTGCCTTACGTGAGCCAAACGCTTGATATTGAATATTATTTTTTTAGTTTTTATTTCTCCCAAATTTAAAGACTGATCAGTCCAACTTTCGTTTCTTTAGACGTTGGATGTTTTTTTTGTTAAAATATAATTTTTTCTGAACTTTTTGAATTAAAAATTGGTTATTTTATCAATACAACTGTTATTTTTCAGGTTCTCCTACCAGCGATTAGTAATGTTTAAAACAATACCGATTTGTTTCAACACCATTCTTTCATTGAATTATGCATTAAAACGATAGGGGGGGGGGGTGGCTTGCTGTTTACCTCTTTGGTTTCTCTTCAATCAACTAACTGCATTCTGGTTGGGAATTTTGATGTCCTTATGAGAGCTCCCCAAGAATGCTCCGACACCATATCGAATTCTTCCGGCAGATTTAATGTAAATTATTTTAACAATTTTGAAACCATTTTGAAACAAGCTATGCGAAGTACACAGAGACAAATAGAAGCACACGAAACCGCACGTTTGAAGCACGATAGTACAAAGCTAGTACAAAGCATACCATGTCCAGAGTGACGTATACAAGATGGCCGTCAACGTCGGATTTCGAAGAATCGCCCCCCTATCCTATTTCGAATTGATGATGTTCGAGTAGTATTTGGGTGTTTGGTTGAAGTTGAAGTTTCGAACTGACTGGATCCAATTGATGTGTTGAATTGATCCATTCTATTTTCATCGAACCGTATTTTGATGTTCTAATTTAGCAACAATTTTTTAAGAGTGGTAGTTGTACAAAGGCTTTAGTTTCTCTGGATCGTCACCATTCCCCGCTCATCGTAAGTTTCAGTTTTCTAAGCCACGAATTTATCTAGTCTCTACTTATCAGTTAGATGCTGCCCCCTGTTTGATTCAACCGGGACAAATCAGCCTGGGTGACTGGGTCGTGCCTACTCGGTCATCATTCGCAGGAAGTCTTTCAATTATACCTTTTTCAGTCAAAGTTTGTACCAACAAGTTTTTCCCGTTCTATTCTCCCAATAAATGTTTGATCACGAGCTTGACCTCAAATGTTCCCCAACTTACTTGATCGAAACCTCTTATCAGTGGAGCGAGCTGTTTAGCCCATTGTGCATCTTCCTGTGTCAAAAGGATATAGATCTAAATTGAAGGATAAAACTTCTAATCTTTAATTGCTCATCCTATTTTGATGATCATTCTGACAAGTAATACTGATATGATCACTATCAGGCCGTCATGCATTCTGACAACACCTACGTAGCTTGATCCTTTCAAGTCCAATCTTGTGTAGATAAAACTGGTGCTTTGAGGGTGTTGAAACTTTTTTCAGCACGAGTTTAAGCCCATGTAAACCATATGATGAAAACCACTCGAGAGAGATTACTATTTGCCTGAAGTCTATTGCCGATCCAAAGCCGCCCATGTGTGTACATGCTGAGCACGGACCATGTGCTGGTTTTAGCATTCCATTCACTAGGTGGACTAGATTAATGAGTCGCTTGACAAAATTTGACAAACTTAAACTTAATTTAGTCGCTGATCCTATTTTGGCCTCATCATTTGTTATAATAAAGTTGGGAGGAGATAGACATTATTAGGCGTAGGCAAATCACATCAACTCAACTGCAGGAAGATTTTACTTCTTATTCATCCTTCGTTTATCTGATCCACTTGTATTGCTTTTAAGTATAAGCATCTTTGATGATATATCTTAACATGTTTTAGAGCATACCTATATTGAACTTTGGTTTTGGGTAAATGAATTTTTGTCGGTTGACCTGCCATTATCTAAATGAGTCCTTTAAAGTTTTCATTGAATGGTGCTTTTTACGAAACAAAGCTATGGAATGAGATTTGGCCTTTGTAATTTGTTGGAGAAAGGTCACCGGCCCCTGACACTAATGAAGTTGCCCGCGGGTCAATTATTGAAAGTTTGTTGCAGCCCGATAAGACATCGAATTGTGATATATTGCATGGTCAAGGTAGGGCTATGTCTTGTCGTGTCGTACATAGTTTAAATAATTGGGCTGCTGAGTACCCCAGTTTCAGTTGCCTTAATACCTGCATAATATCAAAGAAAGTTTGCAAACGGACCGAATAAGTTTGAAACTTTTCGATGTCAGGCATCAAATTGTAATCCGAAACTTGCTGCTTGTATATCCCCCTTTAATATGTAACTGGTACTTACCAGTCACAATTTTTAGCAAAAGCTTCCATTTGTATCATTAATTTACAGGGGGTAGGAGTGTGCATGATCTGTTAGAATTCTTTTATCATGTTGTTTTGTCTATCATTATTTTTTTTTAATTTTGAGGTCCCTCCCTTTTTTTAGCATACCTATCCACCATTGCAGTGGCTCCAAAATTTCTCATATTCTGCATTGTACAGATGTTTGTCCATCCGATTTTTTAGTATTTTGACTGTTCATCGGTAGCTGTGGCCAGTATTCCCCTACTCGAGTGTGTTGAACACAGTGCCACTAGACTTCGATGCCAACTTCGTTCTCAGAACTTCCAACACCAGAGATTCGTGGATTGTTCATCTTAAAAATACCCCAGTTGAAAGAAAGTGCTCGCCTAGCGAATGTGGATGAGTTGAAGGTTGTGCATGCCCCAAATTTGAAAATTCTTCAAACAGTCTCATCAGGAATTTGCTTCATATGCTGTGAAAATGTAGAGAAATGGAAGTGATTAACCGAAAATATTGCCAAAAATTTCACATGCTGTGACACAGGAAAAATTTGTGAATTGAGGAATATTTATTCACCTCTTTTACTCTTTTTAAACACTTCCAGCGGTTGCTTTTTGTGGGTCATATTATGAGTAAGGAAATCGGTGCTTTGTTGGAAACTCCCAAAAGGCAATCTAGTTTTGCTGTATGCTCACTCTGCCCAATTTTGATCAGCAGAGTCAATTTTCTGAAGCATTGAACCCTTAAAACTATCCTTTAATCTTAATTCTACAACCATAATCTAGAAATACTTGTCTGTAGTACTATATTGCACCATAGCTAGGTGGTGATGAGTTGGACTGCATTTTGCAATTTGGAACTATAAATTCTAGCCCGGTTTAAAAACAATGTATATGCCATTAGTTTCCCTATGCACATAAGCGTTTTTCCGGAAGAGCCAGAATTTATAGTTCCAAATTGCAAAATGCAGTCCAGTTCTGTTAATGCCGTCTGAGTAAATTAGCATAGGTCTAGTTCTTTAGCCTTTTTACTTATTTTTTCACACATAAAATTCTACTCTCTTCCTCTAATTATCTATATCTCCCTGCATCAATGTCATTTAAAGACAAAATGAGAACCTCTTAAATTTTCTAATTGCTTAAAAAAATATTTTTTTTTCCAGAATCATGCCTGCTGTCCGTGGAGATGGTATGCGTGGTTTAGCTGTGTTTATCTCAGATATTAGAAATTGTAAGTACCCATTCATTTTTATTCAATTTGTTGCTTTTTGTGGAGTGGCACCAGAGAGGACTGTATACACACCCAAGGTGATCTCATTATATCAAAACTCAGCTACTTGCGGCCATCCGGGGTTTTTTTTGCAAGGAGTTGTCCAGAACTTGGGGTGATGGTTTTTTTGCAGTCCACGTATTTACCACGGAAGGAGTGCAATTTCCGAAGAGGTTTCACAGATTTATTATCTCATCATTGAGTTAGGGGGGCATGTATGATTTTACCTCAAAATATTCATTTTTCACTCATTAGTTATAACCAAGTTTGTCTGTTTTCACTTTACAGGCAAAAGTAAAGAGGCTGAGATCAAGCGTATCAACAAAGAGCTAGCAAATATAAGGAGTAAATTTAAAGGTGACAAGACTTTGGATGGATACCAGAAGAAGAAATATGTCTGCAAACTCCTCTTCATCTTCCTCCTGGGCCATGATATTGACTTTGGTCAGATGGAGGCTGTCAACCTTCTCTCCTCGAATAAGTATTCAGAGAAGCAAATTGTAAGTCACAGTTTTAATCACAATCTGACATATATCTCCCTCTCACTGACTCATTAGCTTTTATTTTAAACATGTCTGTAAAGTGGCCCCTTTTTTCACATGAGATGTGCTTATTACATAGAGGCTCTCTGCAGGGGTGCAGAAAGTTCCAAAACAAAGATCGTCTGCTGTGGCGCTTTGCAGCCGAATGTCAGATTTTATGGCAAAATGAACGTTTCATTGGTTAAAGGTGAAACTTACCGCTTTTCATTGTAGTATTAAGCCAATAAAACTGAAGCTTCGGCAATTGGAAATATTATTTCCTTTAATATTCCTGCAAACAATCTTTGAATAGTATTATTATTCTTAATCATACTACTATCATTGGTTCTGTAAAATTCCTTAAAGTGTACCCATGTAACAGTTTATATTGTCAACAGAACAGGCCTAAATTTTAAAATGTGAACATTAATTAATGGAAATCACATCACATAAAGATGCCTCTGAAAAATTCTCTAATATTTTTAGCCATTCTTTTTCCTTACTGATTGTGATTTTTGTCATTCCAAAGAGACAAGAGGGCTTTTCAAGGCACCCCTAATAAATTTGGTCAATACATTTGGTTGAAATATGTTTCAAAAAAACCATGAGACATTGTGGTTCTATTAATATTTTATTTCTCTTTTTTTTCAGGGCTATCTCTTTATATCAGTTCTGGTGAACACTAACAGCGACTTGATCAAGCTTATTATCCAAAGTATTAAAAATGATTTGTCATCAAGGTATGTTCCAATGATGGTTAAAATTAAATGTACCTACTCTTTCAGTTTACAGTGATGAGATTTGTCTCGGAAGGCCAAGCGTGTCGAATCTTATCTAGAATATTCCTCTCTCTCATCCCTTTTCTGTACAATCTCTCCAACACTCTTAATATTTCCTTATCGCAACTAATAGGAACCCTGTTTTCAGACTAAGAGTGTATTTTTTAGATTCTTCCAGTCTTGTCCCTTTTAAGGTTTTTGATATTTTCTCACTGGTTAAAATAAGTTTCTTTGGACAGCTACTCTCACTAGGTCCAGCATCTCCTGTGGGTCATTACTGTTAGATTATTTGTTTATTGAACACATTACTTTACCTACTTTAATTAATTTTTATTTCCAAAAAAAAAAAAAAAAAAAAAAAAAAAAAAAAAAAAAAAAAAAAAAAAAAAAAAACTTTCTTAATCAGTGGTTGTCAAGCTGGACAGTATATTTTAGTTCAAAAAGTTCCATCTCTTATTCCTTAGAACTTATTTGCCAACGATTTCCAGATTTGACAACTTTCCAAAGGATTTACTTCAGTCTGAGGAATTTTTAGTCGTTTCTCTTTCAAGCTAACCTGATGGAACTAACTCATAAGATATTAAATTCCAGGGCCTCTTGAAGAAATAACATTTTTAATGATTTTAAAATTCTGAATCTTAAACTGCAACTTTTTTCTTTGAATTTAAATTCAAAATTATTAAGTAGATGATTTCAATTATCAAAGAGGCATACAATTAGAAAGGTAAGAAGCAATTTGAAAACGTTTCCCTGTAGGTATGACCGTGTAACAGTGAGGGGTTGTAGTAAACTTTTTTTTTCAATGTACTCCTTTCCTTGTATTTATCATGTAAGTGGAGCCTTTATATAAACTTTTTTTTAAAAATTTCTCAACTTTGTTTTGCTGTTTTAGGAATCCAATCCACGTTAATCTTGCCATGCAATGTATAGCTAACATTGGGAGCGCTGATATGGCAGAAGCATTTGGTTATGATATACCAAAACTCCTTGTCTCCGGGTAAGCTGTTATCTTTTTTAAGGAAGGAAAAAAAGTATTAACTTTGCATCCATTTTTCTGTTATCCGATAGGTTTTTGTACATATTTGAAATTATCTCTGACAAATACAATATAATATCTATTGCAAATTTTTTCGCTGAAAAATTTTCTTTCTTCTTCGATTTATATTCTGTATTTTTGGGGTTTCTAGTGACACAATGGATGTAGTCAAACAGTCAGCTGCTCTTTGTCTACTACGATTATTCCGCACAAGTCAAGAGATCATACCGGGAGGCGAATGGACTTCTCGTATCGTTCATTTACTCAACGATCAGCATCTTGGTGTGGTGACTGCTGCAGCATCTTTGATTGATGCCCTCGTGAAGCGCAACCCTGAAGAATATAAAGCTTGCATCAGTCTGGCTGTGTCACGCCTATCAAGGGTATTTTTTTCCTTTACTTTATTCATGAAACCAGAGCAATCGCAACAGTCAATCTTGATCTGTTGGTTGAATCCTGTTGATCAGTAGATCAGCAGCTCCTAAGGCAGTGTTTCATTCAGCAAGTCAGAATCAGTAAACTTAGACCTATCTACTTTTTCATTTGATAATATGTTGATGCCAAGATTATCCTAACAGTGTAGTTTAATCATGTTCCTGATCATGTATGTGTACTATACACGCCTGCAGATAACTTGCACCTTTTTCCCCGATTTCAGTGCTTGAAAATCCGGGTGCGGGTTATCTATAAAACTCACAGACCACCATGGGCAAGTGTCGGTTGTACATGGATTTTTTTTTTTTTTACCCTCTCAACATCTTGGGTGCGGGTTATCTGCAGGCGTGTACGGTGCTTTGCTGAAATTGGGATTTTAAAAGTGCTTCTATTGATAGATTTGTGCAAAAATCATTCAACTTATTTAAAGGGACAGTTCTATAAAGTCTAAAAATATCAAAGCCTATTTATCAAAATTTGATCATAACAGCGAAAAGAAACCGACAATGCAGGCCATGGAAGCAACCAGCCAGGGCATTAGTAAAAACTGTCAAGCCTGCACATGCTGACTGGCACGGCAACCAACCTGCTAGTATAGATATCTGTCTATGAAAACATAGTAATTGAAAATACCCTTAGTGATAGTGTCCTCTGTGGTTTTCTGCCGGACTTAGTTGCTCTCATAATCGATGTTCGCTGAATTTCATGTATCTTGTTTCAGATTGTCACCGCCAGTTACACTGATCTACAAGATTACACCTACTACTTCGTTCCTGCACCATGGCTCTCTGTCAAGCTCCTTAGACTGTTACAAAATTACACTCCACCGGGTGAGTTTAACGCCAAGCTTCCTGTATCATCTTGTCTTCAAGTAATATATTCTATTAGGATTATTTTGTCATTCAGTACAATGACTGCCTCCCCATCACTCTCCATACTTTTGACCAAGAAAAACTGGGAGGGGGGGGGACAAAGCTCTCATTGAAGAAATACATTCTTAGACTTCTAAAAAGCTCCTATTCTTTGAGAGGATGGCACTGTCAAGCAATGTATTGCTTGAAAAGCATTAGAAAACCTCTCAGAGCCAATAATTCTGCATCCGCTTTTTCCCCCAAGAAATCTCATAGCAGATCAAACCTTTGGTTGGAAATCACCGGAAATCCAGGGAACTGCCAAAAATAATTAACTTTTAACCCCAGTCAAACAAAATCAGCATGAAGATGAAGAACAAGAAAAATATGGAGAAAAATATGAAAAATAAATCAATGGCCGAAGTACGAAACCCGCTATTTCCGTTTGCAATGTTGAAGACTTCCTGGCATACTGTATTTTATCTTTGGAAAGCACGTCATCATAACTTGTAGAAAATCTTATGAATTCTCCTTCTCTGTTAGTAGAATATTCTGTGTTAATTTCAAGCTTTGAAGTTGATTTGTTTCTCCTCAAAAAAAATAAAATCGGAGCGGAAACTTTGAAACATTGCAATGGAACAACACGGTTTCACACTGGGATCATCGAAATGCTACTTTCTGTTCTGCTTCTTCCTTCTCCTAATTTTGTTGTTGTTCCTCTTCTCCTTCTTCGTATGCTATTTTTCTTCTTTGTGATTACTAATGCATCCTCATCTGACATCTAGACTATACTCAGCAAGAAAGAACTTCTATTTCTGGCTGATTTTAGAAAGTTGCTTTTATGGATCAGCCAGAAATTATAGGTCCTAATTGCGAAATGTAGTCCCATTGTAAGACCCGATTCACTCAGACGAGGGTTAAGAGCTGATCTGTCTAATTGCAGAGGATCCTGGAGTGCGTGGAAGATTGAACGAATGCTTGGAAATCATTTTGAACAAAGCTCAAGAGCCACCAAAATCAAAGAAAGTTCAACATTCGAATGCCAAAAATGCTGTATTGTTCGAGGCCATCAGTTTGATCATCCACAATGACAGGTAAATCAAAACATTGGGTCTGTTTGCATTCAGTTAAGGGCTAAAAAACCTCTTTTGCGTCTCAATGATTTGCGATCGAATCCGCCTAGTCTCATTGCTCCTAACATAGTTTGCTGCAGTTGCATTTTGTCATATTGTTTGCAGAAATAGCGCTTTTCTGGAACGAACATTCATTTTTTAAGTCCTGGCCAGTCATTTCTTGTCATAGCGTTTCTTGAATTGACAGTTTCCATAAACAATTCTCTACTTTTATTTCCTCTTTGAAAGTTTTAGAATGATTTACCAAAGACCGTATTTTTGAAGTCAGGTACCCTTGCCTGGCAATAGGTATCACCACCAAGTCTTGTAAGCCTTGAATCTCCGTGGAGTACGTGGACATCACAAAAAACATCAGACATGTCTAACAGAATTTATTTTGTGTGTCAAGTATCTCAATTTCCAGTATTATTCAATGAGTTAGAGGACTATTTAGAAGTACCGTTTTCAGTTAAATGAAATCATGAAGTTGGCCACATGATGGGGAGGGAATGGGTTTTGTAGGTGGGTGTCAGTCAGGTGTGTTCGTATCATCTTTGCTCTCAATAAAATGCCCATAACTTGTATAATTTAATAACGTATTGCTCCATGTTAGAGGTATTTGATTTCATCATATTATGATATTTATACTGATTCTTTCAATTTGCATTCACAGTGAGCCCAATTTGTTGGTGAGGGCTTGTAATCAGCTGGGTCAATTCTTGTCGAATCGTGAGACCAATCTACGATACTTAGCCCTTGAATCAATGTGTCTCCTGGCCACATCAGAATTTTCACATGAAGCTGTCAAAAAACATCAGGAGGTCGTCATTTTATCCATGAAGGTATTTCAGCAGTCTTGTATTATGAAGATTATGGTTTTTGTAGTCTCAAAAAGAGCTCGGAACCGCTGGTTTTAGAAAAAAAGAAAAAAAGAAGAAGTCGAAAAAATATTCAAGGTCATGAAAGTGTCTGATTCTTTGGACGGCGCTTGAAAAGAGCCTGCATTTGAAATTTTACTACATAATAATTAACAGGAGTAAATAGCCTTTCTCAAAAAATAATAAATTAAATTAACAATACATTGTTGAACTAGTAATAATAAATTTGACTTATCATTTAGAAAGACATCCCAATTATAAAGGCAATATGGATCTACCTTTAAAGAGAACTAAAAATTGCCAGTAGACACTGATGACCACTGGACACGTTTGCTCATTTATGTGGCAGCTAGCCAGCTAATATCGGTCATTGCTTCTGAGAGTAACAACTGCATATTTTAAACACCCTCATTTTAAAAGTTGATTTTTTGATAATTTTACGATTTCCTTATTCCATAGCAAGCTTTTTCTTTACAATTTCAGATGGAAAAAGATGTTTCAGTACGACAACAGGCTGTAGATCTTCTGTACGCTATGTGTGATAAAAGTAATGCTGAAGAAATAGTTCAAGAAATGTTGAATTACCTGGAAACAGCCGATTATTCCATCAGAGAAGAAATGGTGAGTAATCTTCAGCTTTGCAATGGCAAATTTAAGGTGAAATAATTCTATAAATTGATTGTGACTTGTGTCACTTTTCCATCATATTTTTAGCCCAGTTAATATTTGAGATGAAACCTTAACAAGCTTATGTTTTGACTTTCTCAAGTTCAATGAAAGCCTGCCAAAGCTCCGTCACTCAAGTAGGACTGTGTTTGGAAGGCGCAGAGCAGTGATGAATTTCAGCCTTCTTTAAAATATTAGCTTTTTCTACATCATTTTTGATAGGGATCCGCGAAGCGGCGATTTTCAAAGCGAAGTGAAGGTGAAGCTTCGCTTCGCAATTTGCGAAGCAACCGCGAAGCAAAGCGGATAAAAAAACCCTTCAAATACGCTGGATGCAACCCGCGGAATTTCGTTGCGGTTACTCCAGCAAGTCACAACTCAGGGTGCGACAGTGGTAAACTTCATTGAACACTGAGAAATATGTGAAGAATGCATTCATTTAATTTTCCCCCTCTTCCCTTGAATTTTAAGAATGAATTTTTATTGAGATGCCAGCAGATCTGAGATTTTTTTTTTTAAATTTGTCATCGGTTTTGCTTTAATGATCACGGAATGATAAAAAATAAAAACTGTTTTTACTTTTTATTCTCCTTTTAATTTTTTTTTTTTTATATATAATTTAATGTAAAACATAGCAATACCTGCAAAATTGTGGTAAATATAATTTGAAAACCATCGATTTAAACTTTTCAAAAAATTTTATTATGATGGAATTGAGGTTAGGAGAAAAGGCGCTTATACGCGGAGCGGCCGCTTGCGCAAAGACCCGGTATACGCAAAGAATCATCCATCAATCATCGGCATTCGGCATCGATTCCGAAAGAGCGCGAAAATTTGAATTACTGCGAAATTTTTGCTTTGGTTTGCTTTTTCTGACCTCGCGCTTCGTTTTGCGAAGCGAAGCTTTGCGGACCCCTAATTTTTGATATTTTTAAAACATTACCGTAAAAATTTTATTTAACAATACATATCAATATAATTAATTCTTTGAGGTAACAATTTTTTTTTTCCTCCCTCGAATAATCCTTTCGCTTCTGTGTGAATCAAATTCCATGTACAGGATTTTGATTCAACAACGGTACTCCACATTCAAAGACTGCCATGTCCATGTGAAACAGCATTCAAAGATTTTGCTTGAAATCCAACATGCATGCAAAGCTATGGAAAAGACCAATACAATGGAGAATCTGCAGGTGTCTGAATAATGGCGAATTTCATGTTTAAAATGAAACGATCCGGAGAACTGAGCACGAGATTATCCTTAGTTTATAAATGGAACATTTATTGGAGGAGATATGACATAATAACTGAATCTGCTAAAACACATGTGTTCAAATGGGAAATCCTGCCAGATGATGCCACAAGGTGGTACATTTTCTCACTTTTAAATCTATTTTTCTTCAATTTCCTTGTCAGAAAGAAAATATGCAAAATACTGTGAACTCAGCTTGTTAAGCACTCGGAAGCAATAAAATTTTTCCAGCAAATTCTCCATTGCTACTCGCTCATCTGTAGAGATGGCACCGAGAGATGCATCGTGCAAAATCAAATTTTAACTGACCTGTCGATTAAAGTTGGTCAAGGGCTAATCATTGGAATGGGCCTGTTGCAAACTTTTGCTAGAGGAAAAATAAGAGTTGTTTCTTATAGATAATGCCTCAAAAATCACGATGAGCGCATCGGCAAAGTCTGAAATGCACTCATAACTTCACAATCTGCGTAAGAAATTTGCGTTTTTTAAGCTTCCCGCTTCAAAAACGATACTACGGCACAGGTGAACATTTTGTTAGAGGAGTCGCTCCATCGTCGGCGATATTCATCATGGCCGACGCTTGCGCGCAGTTCTGCGCGTAATTCGAGGAGAGTTCAAGGTCAATCAATTCGGGCGTGGAAAACATGAACGTTAAAACACGCCGATTGTTATCTGGTCTAATCCAGTTCAGGTATTATCTCGTCCCATCACACGTGTTTTGGCGGATTGGCGTCGGCCATGATGAGTATTGCCGACGATGGAACAACTCCTTTTACAAAATGTTCACCTGTGCCGTAGTATCGCTTTTGAAGCGGGAAGCTCAAAAAACCGCAAATTTCTTACGCAGACTGTGAAGTTATGAGTGCATTCCAGACATTGCCGATGCGCTCATCGTGATTTTTGAGGCATTACCTATAAGAAACGGCTCTTATTTTTGCTCTAGCAAAAGTTTGCAACAGGCCCATTGATAAACAGAACAAAAGACAGAGGAAAAATAGAGGGATCCTATTGATGGCAGCGGGTAGTCACAATGTACAAAAGAGCTAAGTGATAGACTAACTAATGGCAACCAACAAGATACCCCTATAGTTAGTACATCATTTTCCCCTTGGTAGTCTGTAACAACCACCCGTTTGAAAACTGATTTCTCTATTCTCCCGTTGTCTTCTTTGTCTATAAGTTTCAATGATCATCCTGTTGGTTGATGGTTGAATGCGAGGTTGTAGGATGTTGTGGGGACAGGGGTGAAATTCTTTCTCTGAATTTTTTTTTTAGCGGAACTCCATTCATTTCCATACGCTTCTCTATTTGATAGCCAACATCTCTTTGAGGACCAATATTGATGCCACTATTCCAACTGACAACCGTCTTGTTATATGCTAGTTTGCCGTACATTCATTGAATCTTCAGATGAGAATCTGATTATGGTAGAAGCAGAATGGTGGAACTTACTCTCATTCTCCTTGATGCTTCAAAGGAAGTCTGACAGCCGCACCCACTCGTGTCCTTGGTGCAACAATCACTAAGCCTTAAACTGCCGTGCTAAGGAAAACCGCTGCATGAACATTCAAGTGTTGCCAAATTTGCCCCCTGAAACATTCATTTTTGAACTTAATGAATATTTTCCCTTGAAATTTTCGGAAACTGTCGATTAAATTGCGAAATGAAACTCTTAGAGAAATTTGGGGAAAATATTCCCTAGTTTCCTTGAAAATTTGCGTTTTATCCAAGAAAATTTAGCAATGCCTGCAGACTCATATGGCGGTTTTCCTTAGCATGGCTGCAAACATGTGTAGCAATTTCTGCAGCACATTCTGCAACAAATGACGCGTATGTGTTAATGTGCCCAAATGTATAGACACCTATTGGGGGAGAGACAAATTGCTGAGAACCAAAAATTTCGAATCATGTCTTTAAAAACAGATTTTTTATTATTATAAGCGTCAGATTTCAGATTCAACAGAATTCTTACCAATCCCCAGAGATTTGTTAAATTCCACTTTGTTATTTTGTTTTTGTAAGGTATGTTTTTTTCTCCTTTTAAAAATTATCTCGAATCCTCTTATTTGATTTCAGGTTTTAAAAGTGGCCATTTTAGCAGAAAAGTACGCCTCCGACTACACTTGGTATGTTGACGTTATTTTGAATCTCATAAGAATAGCTGGTGACTATGTGTCCGAGGAAGTTTGGTACAGAGTTATTCAAATAGTAATCAATAGAGATGATGTCCAAGGTTATGCAGCTAAAACAGTTTTTGAGGTAAGCTCCTGTTTGAAGTTCTATTCAAAAATCAACACTCAGTTCAAAGTGAATATTAAAGTTAATCCAGTTCAATCCGAGACCTTTCCGGTTTTCAAAACTTTAAGAAGCACAAGGTACATTCTACTACAGGTATGGACAAATGGAATTTTAGAAAGTCGTCTAAACGCGTAGATTTGACAGCGTCCAATGGTACAACTGCGACGCCACATTGAAAACTTGTCTACTTTCTGTTCTGAGAGTGGGTCTCATCAGTTTCGTGTTCTTAGATAAGTTTTTCGTTTTCTTGAGTTTTATCAATTTTTTAAATTCATCTGATAGCTTATTGAAGCTACCAGATCTACCAGAACCTCATTTTGAACTGCGCGGCAAAGACAGTACCACTAGCAACGTCACTCGATGGCCCATATTCTCAGCACCGCCACTTCGGCACCCCGCCTGTCCAAACCTGTAGTAGAGTGTACCTTGTAAGAAGCACCTCTAATGCAGTATTTTTGAGGGAAATGAATGTATTTTGAAGAAATGAAGCAAATGGCTTGGAAACTGTGCGACTAAAATTATGCTATTTAACATTTTAAATACAAGTTACACTCTTGTCTCAGGGGACAATTAATTTGCTGATTCAAAATGCTCTTTTCCCTTTTGGCATCATATTTAGTCCTTTTTAGGATAGAATTTGCATGCTTTATTTTTAGATTCTGACGAGAATGTACATCTACTCCTCACATTTGTTTGGCGTATCAGGGGTGTAGGAACTTCCCAACCATGCGATCATGATTATGTGCCTGCTTGCAAGGAAAAATGGGAAGACCAACTTGCAACAGCGTTTAAATCGTTTTGTTCCTGGCAAATTGCAGTGAAAGTTGTGTGGTTTCTGTATCATTGGGGTGACATTTGCTTGATTTTCGCAAAATGTATGATTTTTGGCAATTTGTGAATGAAGGACAAAAAAGAAGGTCAAACCTTGGACAAATTTGGCAGAAAAGGCATTTTTAAAATGTGAAGGCCTTTGAGCAGCCATCATCTTGAGACTCTCTTTAAGGTATTGCTTTTGTTTCCAATTTGTTCATTCGTTTTTGTCTTATCTCAGGCTTTACAAGCGCCAGCCTGTCATGAAAACATGGTGAAAGTTGGTGGTTACATTTTAGGAGAATTTGGCAATTTAATCGCTGGTGATCAAAGATCAGCACCATCAGTACAATTCCAGCTGCTACATTCCAAAGTAAGTTGTCCATTTTTTCATCAATTGTTGTGAGAAACATAATGAATGTTTCCTCATCAAAATTTCATGTACAACACATGAAGTGTGTTAAGAAAGCAGGAAATAAACTTGTAGACCAGGGTTAGTGTTTCAAAGTTTACTTTAAAATCAGATAATTCAAATTTCTGGCCCAAAAAATACACCAAAATTAATGTAGGGCAAATCTGATGGAAATCTGTGTAACTGTATGTGAGGAACTTGACGGAAAAGGCGTCTGAGTGTAGTTTTTTTTAAAAAAAAAAGATTTAATAAAGCGTTGTTATGCATAATTTTTTATCTTGTCTAGTGGTTCAGTGAGGCCCCTGCCTGCTGATGATTAAAATTAATAGATCCAGGAAAAATGGAGCAATTCTATTGGTTAAAACGGGTGGCTGTTTAACACTAGGAGGAAGCGGATGGAGTAACTACTGCACTGTGGGTCTCTTGTGGGCTCCAGATAATTAGTCTATCACCTAGCTCCTTTGTCCATAGCAACCACCTGCTTCCATCAATAGCTTCGCTACTTTTTCTCTTCGTCTTCTCTGACTATCGCTTTGTTTATAAATTTCAATAATCAGTCCTCTGGGGAATGAAGAAAAGGTTAGTCATTTTCAAACAAAGTGAGATATTAATGATTTTGAGAAAAAGAAAAAAAATTAGTTTGTTAAAAGCATGCGTGAAAATATCCTCAAGAACTCAATTTTTCACCTTGGAGCCTGAGTCAAAAACGTTTATGTAACGCAAGACTCAGTGTAATTTTTAAACGTCAAGCTAGCAAAAGTTTAAATAAAAGTAAAGTCAAAATTTCAAGTTTTCTGGAAAGCACAAAAATCTCACTTACCTCATTTATGCACCGGAGCTTCTCCAGTTGGGCTGCATTTCGCAATTAGGAACTCAAATTTCTAGCCCATATTGGAAATAGCATTTATGCCAAAAGTTACCCATACAGGTAGTTACTTTTACGGATGAGCCTGAAATTGTAGTTTCTAATTGCAAAATGTAGTTCAGTCGGACTACATTTTGCAATTCAAAACTACGATTTCAGGCTCAGTTTAGAATTAACGTATGTACCATTAGTTTCCCTATGTACGTAAGTGTTTTTACGGATGAGCCAGAAATTATAGTCTCTAATTGCAAAATGTATTTCAATTGCAACTACCCTATATCATGCGCTTGTGTAATGTCACCGCTTTATTTAAGATTACTTTAATGTCTCTTCTTGCAGTATCATCTTTGCTCGCCAATGACTCGGGCTCTCTTGTTATCGACGTATGTAAAATTTGTGAATCTTTTCCCGGAGGTAAAATCAACCGTACAAGATGTTTTCAGACAACACAGTAATTTAAGATCTGCAGATGCTGAGCTCCAACAAAGAGCCTCCGAATATCTACAACTCTCAATCCTTGTCTCGACAGATGTCTTGGTACGCCAATCTCTTCATTAACTGCTTAGTTACATACTTACATAATGCCGCTTTCACAGCGCAGCCTTGCGCTCTGCGACACCCAATCGCCGTTGCCCCCTATCCTCCCAGAGATCATCTCTTTTCTTCCTTAGTGATCTTTTAAATTAAAATCTAATGAAGCAGTTTAGGTGATCAATTTTCCTAAATTCCTACAAGGTGCAAAAACAAGCGATTCACCAAAATTAGATGTTTATCATTTTAAGTTTAGTGCGTGTGAAATGAAAATGATGGATGAAACACTTTAAACTTAGCAGCTCAAGTGTCATGGATATTTGATAGAAGATCAGACTACCTTTAGCAAAGGAGTGACAAATGACGTTGACTTGGGGAAGATAACTCCATTTCTGAAAGAGCTTTCAAAAATTATCGGTCAGTTCTACAATCGTTTGCTTTATGAATAATGTCAAGAAAATAATGTCCTTCTTAATTAGGTGGAACCCCATTTGTTTATCAGTTTATTATCTTGCATCGTCTGCTTTGATGAACATTCTTAATATGACTTCCCCCATATTTTCATTCACTACTATCTTACACAGAGTGATCAATAAGTCCTGTATCACCACTATCACCAGCACTAGGCATCACCCGCATAAATTTTGAAAAAGTTCAGCTAAAAACTCAACATTTTGTGAGTGCTTTTATGTCAAAGAAAACGATTTTTGGGACCCCCAAAATTTTAATGGGATCTCCCTGAAAGGGTGCAAGAACCTTAAGAGTTATTAGAGTGGCACGGGACTTTGGGATCACCCTGTATTAGTAAGTTTCGTATGAAATAATCAGTCAAACTCATTAATAATGCGGTCATTATTTTTCAAGTTATCATAGTTTTACTTTTTCTTTGTTTGAAATAATAGGCAACAGTGTTGGAGGAAATGCCATCTTTCCCTGAGAGGGAGTCCTCTATTTTAGCTGTTCTTAAGAAGAAGAAACCCGGTCGCATTCCAGAAAACGAAATACGTGAGCGAAAGAGTCCTGCTCCTCCTAGCTCTTATCACCAAAATAGTCATGCAACAGCACATGTAAGTATCGCTTCAATTTTTAGAGCTTTTTATCATGTTTCCACATCAAAGTATTGTTAAAAATTGGCTCCTGTGAAAACTGCTATTGTCCTTCTTTTTTAAAGAAGACAATTTTGAGAAAATTGCAAAAAACTGTCCAAAACCTTCAATCGCTGACTGAAACAGGATCTATAAGCTAACCTCTGAACCATGTGAATCCAAGTCTTCAAGTTACCAAGAGTTTTAAAAACCGAAAATCTCAAAAGATGAAAATATTTTACTCTAGTAACTAGTTTTCGCATCAGCCAACTTGTTCATTCTCCATTTTTTTTAAAATTCAGTTTGATGTATAGTTTTGAATTGAACAGCTGACAATCGTCTCTCAAATTCTTCATCTCTTCAGCAGGGTTGTTATTTTTTCTTTTTTGATCAGAAATCTATAGAGCATGTTATAAAAAAGGAAAAGAAGGAATATGTAAAAAGTGAAATTAAGAGTGGAGGTATTTTGCAAGAGGAAGAGGGAATGGGAGTGCAATCCTTGGCCCCTCCAGGTTTTTTTTTCTCCCCCTCTCATTGGCCAGTCTTTTGTTTCTCTGTAATATGTAAACTTACAACTTTATTTGTTTTGTTAGTTACCTAATTTGAACCAAGTGTAACCAAAACGCACTAAGTCGCATTTTGGAAAAAAATAAGTTGATGGTAGTTTTGATTTCAACTATTTGGAAATTTTCTCCTCTAACAAACTCAAAGTTGAAAAAAAATATTTTAAGGGTGAAAATAGTCGTTAAAATTTATTCCTAACATTTAGTTTTACTGATGGAAAAAAATTTCAAACCTCTTTTCCAGTTCAGACTTGATGTGACTTGGTGCATTTATGCTTAACTTTGTCTCTTTTATTATTTTTATATTTCTATTGAATTAAAATCACCGAAATCACATGTGCGCCAATATAGTAAACCATTTTATTCCTCATATTATTACTATTATATATCTGCAATACCTTTCTCTTTTCGTGCGACTTATTTCTACTTTGGTCCTACTCTTTGATTTCAGGTAAATGATAATAAAAATAGTTCCGCAGACCTACTAGGATTGTCTACTCCTCCTGCGAGTAATACTGGTGTGTTAGTTGACGTTTTAGGGGACTTGTACAATTCAACACCAGCACCTGCTGCTCAGACAACTTATAATCCCAAAAAGTAAGTTCAAAAAAATTCTATCAACTAGGAAAATGATTTTTCAAAAACTTGCACTCAAAGTGAAGCTTCAATTTATCCATTGGTTGGAAGACTTTCACTTTTGTTAAATATGTTTCAAACGCGTAACATGAATCAATCAGTAGTATGTAGAAACAGACCCGCATTGAGCTAACTTTGACATTTACCGGTAGAGGCATCCATTTTTAGTCCCTCTCAAGACGTTAATTGCCATGGATTCAACAAAAAATTGCTGCAGATTTCCCATGCCGTGGGAAAATTCTAGTAACGTCTTGTTCAGTCTGGAGCCTGGTGCAGTGCAGAAATTGCCACAAAACATCTTTGTTACTTTAAGGTAAAATTTTTTTATGAAAAGGCCTCGGGAGATTTTCATGAATTTTCATACAGTTTTCGGAGACAGATTTTTTCTGGATCATCAATAGAGGCTTGATGTGAAGCCACTACTGATTCAAATTTTACGAAGTTGACCCTATATTTCAATCGATCTAAGAAATATTGATAGTACAAATCGTCAATGTCAGGACGTAGTGATTACCCTTTCAAAACAAGAACTCTTGTCCAAATTCAATGCGTTTGTGAATGAATCAAAATGATCCTTATATTTCTTGCAGATTCATCTGTAAAAATAATGGAGTTCTCTTCGAAAATGATCTTATTCAAATCGGTGTCAAGTGTGAATTCCGACAGAACTTGGGCCGTCTAGGTTTATTCTACGGAAATAAAACTTCATATCCTCTACATGTAAGTTCCTCATTAAGTTATTGATTAATCGCAACCATAAAGTATGTGAACTTTTAGCTTTTAAAGAGACCCTAGTAACTGCGCAAGCTACTAGAGAGCAGCTTTTATGTGTGATATTGGACCGATCATGTTTGAATTTTTCCCCTCGTTCTCGCAAACCCACTTTATATTAACAAAAGTTGAAATTTTCCCCAGTAATATTCTCGAACATACAGATTTGCATGATCAAGAGCAATAGGCATACCAATCAAATGCAAAAATATGCACCAAACATGGTTTTATGTTTTTTCATAGACAGCGTATCACCACAAGAATGTCATGAGTTAAAGCCAAGTTTATAGGAAATTATTATCTTATAACATTCAATATTTGCTCTTAGAGTTTTATTGAAAATTCTCTGTACTTGCAGAACTTTGTCACGGCTCTATCAAATCCTTCAGATTGGATATCGAAGATGAATATTCAGTTGAAACCAGTTGAACCTGTACTGGAGGCCGGAGCCCAAATTCAACAGACTGTCAACGCAGAATGTGTTGAAGATTACACTGGTCTGTATCTATTGTTATTTTTCTGTCAGTAAATTGACTGGTTGTGTCATTTTTTAAAAAGCACCTCAGAACTGATCATCTGGAGAAAGAGAGGAAAGAGGAAAGGTTCAGGAAGTTGGTGTTCAGTAAATTTAGATACAAATGCAAAAACCTGTCTTAACTTAGTTTCATGGTAAAGCTGAAAAAGAAAATAAACTTTATGTATATAAGTTCTTAGAACTGATTTTTAAGTGGCAATATTTTTATTTTGATAATATGAACTAATTTGTTAAAGGTAATATACTTCATATATTAAGTTACACATGAATTTGCTGAAAAACTAATTTTTCAGTCATCCGTCGGTCTAGTTTTAGAAGTGTTATTTAGCATCTAAATTATTTTTCCCTCTTGACTGCATAGATCCAAGAAGTGTCAAATATTATACATACCCTGTTTTTTACTCTTTCGGAACCAGGGAGCAACAGACATTATTAGTTTTACGTCAAAAAAAAGTTATCGGTAGCATTGAAAGAGGTTATTATTGTTATAGCATGGATCCAGTTTGATATAATCAAGAATTTCTGTGGTGGCATCACCACTAACAGCGTCTTAACCTTGTTCATCATACCATTTTCAAGTAGACGTATAGAATTTCTTTAAGTTTAGAAAATTTCGTTCTATATTTTTAATTTTTTTCTTGTATGCTTTGAATTTAAAGTTAATCTAACTTTAATTTTTCATATTTTGTTTCAGACGCACCTTCTATCAGTATTGGGTTTGTTTACAATAATGTTCCTCAAAAACTTTCGGTCAAGTTACCACTAACGCTTAATAAATTCTTTGAGCCCACAGAAATGAATGGAGAATCCTTCTTTGCCAGGTGGAAGAATCTTGGAAGGTAGGCATTAATTTTTCATAGTCTCGATGTAGAATTACATTTTTTTTAATTTTCCTTTCTGTAATGAATGGGCATTCCAAACAGCTTAAGTAAGTGAATTTAAGTGGAATCAGCATAACTGCTTTTCAAGTTGTCTCAAGTTAATTCTAATGATTTTTTTTTTCTAATAGAGGACAAAACTTGATAACGCCTTGTAGCTTCCTTGAATTTGCCCTAAATTATGAAGAATATATTCCTGGAATCTGAAATTACAGTGCTGCCGAGTTCAGTTTAAAATATGAAATGCTAGAGAAAATAAGGCACTGTCTAATATAATAAATTCACCAATTCAACCGTATAAGTCATCAACTTTTCCCTAAAAATGAAGACATTTTGATTAAGCTCCTGTGTCCGTCAGATTCTAAGATGAGATTTTTTGCCGATGTTTGATCAAAAAATTTGATCCTTTTCTTCCATTTGGATTATCTTAGAATCAAACATTTTCGTAATAAATGTAATGCCCTTGTTAGCGATAAGCGTTTTTGTCCGGCATTAGACCGTCAGACACTGCCATGTCACGATGCTGCACAGCAGAGCAAACTCTGGCAATGGCGCATGCATATTATGAGCAAATCTGTCCTGCAGCAGTGGCTCAGAAAGGACTAAGTGCATGCAGAACTCTGCGCTGACCAAATGATTTGCGAGTTTTTCATCACTTTTAAAACTTTATTTCTTGATTACCTACTTTACTCATCCCTATTGTAATATTGGGCAAACAAATTCTATTATACTCTGTCTCCTTTGTCCTTTATTTGAAGAAAAACATTCGGTAATAGAGTCCGAGAATATACAGGAAAAACAAGGAAAAAATGTACCTAAAATTTTGATTCATTAAATCGTCTTAGAATCAAGAAAGTAAAATAGTCCCGCACGTTGAATTAGTGTGTGGGGTTGGGCTTTGTTTAAAAAGTTCAATTTTGGACATTGCAGCAACCAAGAGCTCTCTGCAAACCTTGCTTAACATCATATACCCATAAATGTATCGCTGATTCCTTTTTCTATTTTTCTCTTCTAGCACATCCCAAAAATCTCAAAAAATTTTCCAAGCTTCCTCTCCCATTGACAATGATTCAGCAAGAACAAAACTGCTTGGTTTCGGAATGCAACTTCTGGATGGAATCGATCCAAATCCAGATAACTTTGTCTGTGCCGGGATTATCCACACTCAAACACAGCAGATAGGTTGCCTTCTACGCCTTGAACCCAATAAACAAGCCCAGGTAAATATCTTAATTTGTATCCATTTTCCTTTTCTATGTGATGAATTGAAAAAAGCATGATGAGAAATTGAGTGCTAGCACCTGATTAAGTGGGCAAAACACAGTTTGTACATGATCGCCATAGTTGGGGACTACAAGGGGAACAGAGAAATGTCAGGAAATTTATAAAAGTCAGGAAAAACCTGGAAATATCAAGTAAAAATTTTCAAGCCACCTTCATTTTCTCTTCAAATGGGTTTGATGCTTGACCCAGCAAAATTTGCCTGAAATCTATCTTAAATCATATATTTTTAACCATCGGTCATATCTTCAATTGTCGGGGAATTTGACTTCAATTCGTCAAGGAAGTGTCTGGGGGTTCCACTTTCTAAATTCTGTGACAATCCTGTTGGTTTTTTCCTCATCAAATAAAAGGGAAGTGAACAAAATTAATTCAGCAATTTTTTGGTACCAAGATATACTTTAGGAATTCTAAATGTACATTTCTCCGAAAAGTGGCTTTAACACGAATTTGTATGGTTTTAGTTTCTATTTCTTAATTATTTTTAGACCTGTTTGATTAATCGAACGTTAATCGTAATCGCGAATAATTTTTTTCATCGTAATCGTGATCGGTTTGAGAAATTAATCGTGATTGATTCGATTAATTTGACTTCACGAATTGTCCAGTTTCTCGCCGCATTTTGAATTTAAAATTTCCGCCGCGTTTGTTCGAATTTGCGTCACATCTACGGTAGCGCGCTGCTAGCCCCTAACGGTAAAAACTCGCACTGAAAATAGTGATAACCCCGCGAAAATATCTCCATTGGGCTTGTGCCACGATTTCACGTCGATGATAAAAGTTCTTCGAATACTTTTGATCGGAGAGGTTGGCAGTGCATCCATTAAAAAAAAAAATTTAATAGTTGGCGGGTCTAGTTTATTTTGGGTGGAAAGGATCTTTTAGAAAAAATAGACAGTGAGTCAACCTCAAGTGAAAGAAAAAAAAAAAATATTGGAGGAAAATCATCAGCTTTGAAACTTTTTAAAAAAATATCTTCAAGAACGTATATACTTCAACTTTAAGTACACTATATTAGTTCTATGGCCATTTGTTAATGTGTTCTTTGCCAACGTATTTTCGAAATGGTTCTTGCTGGGCCAAGAAAACATGCAAATAAATAGAGGAATCAGGATACCTCCAACCATGGTTTCCACCATAGCTGCTACGCTGGCGCTTCTCATTGGTCATGTACATAACTGGTACTGAAAAATTTGTTTCTCGAATAGCCCCTAGACATCGCCTTTATTGCACAGCAGCGCAGAACCAGTCATAGTCACTATGACTGTTTTGACCTGTATAAAAACCGCAACCATAACTAGCTGGGCAGCAGTGACGTGGCATGCTTTCTGAAATATCGATTGATCTGCCATCTAAACCTATGTAAAAGGATCGATAAACAAGGTGTTGGCAAGGAACACCTTAATAACCGATTCTTTACCACAGCTTCAAAGGGGAAATATCGATAATTAATCATTCACGCCCTGCCCCTACTCGCCAGTGAATGAATCAAGCTATGTTTTTAAATAACTTTTTGCAAAATATTTCACTTTATTCGTTTGTTTTTTCAGATGTACAGATTAACTGTTCGTTCCAGTAAAGAATCAGTATCAATGGAAATTTGTGAATTGTTGGCAGACCAGTTCTAAACAGACCAAATACTTGTTTTCCTTCTATATTTGTAAGTAATGCCTGTTTTATACTCAGATTATTTTCAGAAGGCAAGAATCTGATGGAGGAAAGTTGTCCGGTTGTAGTGTGAGCTTTGAATCAAAACAAAAAATCTGTGCTTATTTAAGTTTCAGAGTGACAGCCAAAGAAATTAGAGAGTCTCATATTTTGGCATGTTGCAATAATGGAGGGCCCTTTCAGGAATCCATCTCCTGTGGTATGATGCTCTCTGCAATTTTTCGCTAGCTTGTTTGCTTTTCACCCACTACGCAGAAATAACGGCTGAAATTTGCCAAGTTGTGAAGATCATCGGTCTTTAAAATACTACTAAAATAAAAGTTGAAATACTGAAAAGAAGGTTGAGCAAAAAAAATGGAAAACATATCGACTGACTAAGCAGCGATCATCAGTCAGACGAAAATCAAACAAACTGAGAAACATCAGATTAACCAAAACCTGCATGGCTAGAGATTAGAATTTCTCTGAGAATTTTTCTTTCTTTATTCTGGGTAAGATGGTTTTTTTACCTTGATTTTTGTGATGAGTTGTCCACTGTGAGTGGAAAAAATAGGACACGTCTTATTGGCACATTCAACCCAGAAGTTTGGCGCTTAATGTTATTCTCCAGTTAGAAGACTCAATATTTGCAAAATCTAAGATAAGTTTAGCTCCTTTTAGCTACTAAAAATACTTAAAATTTAAAAATTTTAAATCAAGAAACTAAAAGCAATCTTGTTGACTATAATCCCTGAGGCAGTTGAACCCAAAGAAAAATTTGACTACTTTTAGCCATGAAGTAATATTTTTGGGTTGGAAAGTGGGAAAAGTGTCGATTCTTGAAGAAAGACATAATTAAAGGTGCGAAAAGCTGGTATGATGAATGAAGTCGTTACATGTTTTTTTTTTTTCTTTTGCATCTTGTCACAACGCTTTTGTAAGGGAAATAAAAGTAAAATGTTGTTTCTGGAAAAATATTATCTGAAGAAACGCCATAAGAAGAAATGACTGTGATAGCAACGTAAAAAGAGAGCAAAATAGGAGCTCATAATTGCTGGAGCCAGGAATCTGTGAAGTGTCTAAAGTGTAGAGCAGTAGATTTATTTTACATGTGTTTTTATTTTGGTTTTTACAGGTCCTGTGTATTTGTACATGATTGTTGAATTTACGTTTGTTTATCTTGTTGATGGTAAGTATTTCTACTCATTCGCTTACCCTCAAGGTTAATAGCTTCAAATGTCTGTTTTGAGCATATTTTCTCCCTGTATTTTTCGAGGTGTATATCCTGTATCCTGTTCCATGAACTTATTTAAGCTACAAAATATCTGTAAAATCATTTTATATATCAAAGTCAGTCTGTAAGTGTTAGTCCTTGTATATTAATGTCCCCCAATGATTTTTATTAGATTTATTTATGCATTGTTCTGTATACTTATCTCCTCTCTTGATTTTTCAATAATGCCCAATTTTGATCTTTTTTTCTCTCTCTTGAGGGGAGCCCAAGACTCATGCTGTTAATTTGACATTTTGATCGTTGTTTTTATATCTTTTCTGTTTATTTTATTTATTTACTATTTTTCTTATCACATATTTTTTCTCTAGTTTTTACTTCTATTCCAAAATCAGGTTCTGGCTAAAAATAAAAGTACATCTGGAGGCGTGATTACACAGTCTAAGTCCAAATCTAAAATGAGCAAATGAGGGTTACAAAGCTTATTCTCCCCATCTAGGCCAGCAGGAGAATTGATGGACAAAGCGATAGACAAGGAGGACAAAGAGAATATGGAGCGGTCATACCGGAAGCGGGTGGTTGTGATGGACAAAGTAGGTAACTGTAGACAACCTACGAGGCTCCCTATTGTTAGTTCTTCATTCTCCCTCTTAGTCTATATAAACCATCTGTTTCAACCAACTGGATTGCTCCATTTTTCCTTTGTCTCCTTTGTCCGTTGCATTGTCTGTCAGTTTCAAATCAACTTGCTTGCATGGAATAAAATCAACTTTAGTCAATGATTATTCTACTTAGAGTGTCTTTGCCGGCTTTCGTCACTTGTTTCTTGTTTGACTTTCACATAGCCATACTTACTGTTTATTCTTAATTCGTCACTCATTGTAAGAGATATTTGTACTCTCAGTCTGAAATATATATTGCAACATTTCTCATCTGTTGAGCAAGCAAACTTCGGAAGTGTAATCAAGCCCTCCATCAGCCATCCTAATTTTTTGCCGAACCATCCAAGTTTCCTTACGTTTGCCCTTATTTGAATGTATACTCATGAATAGATTACAAAATTAAAACTTGATCGTAATTTTCAGGTACAATGTTTTATTAAAAATCCGAAAACAGTGTGTTGATGTTGCCAAAATCTACTAGAATTATTACTCCTGTCTTATTTTGTGAAGTTTCCTATGAGCCCAGCAAGTAATTCCTCAATTTACAAAAGAATAAAACATTTTTCTGTCTTTTGGAGTGAGAAAGAATATTTGAATAAAGTGGACAAACATAAGCCCAGATAAAAATCAAATCGGCCAGAAGGAGTGCTGGAGCTCTAGAAGCTGGCCGAGTAGAATGGGTCCATTACTAATGATCAAAATGTAGTCATTGAAAAAAAATTCAAATTAAGGAATTGGCCATGAAAAAACATTCAGAGCATGAAAGGTAACCAACAGAGTTAGTTTTTTGAGGCAAACACTCATTTAAAATTACCCTGGAGACAAAAATACTATCTTGAAGCTTGGCATGTGTGATGTAAATTTTGGTCTAGCATATTGACCAAGAAATTGCAGAAATGCGTTTCTCTGTCGCTCCTATTTTATTGTACAAAGGAGACCTAGTCAGAATAGTGGCCGAAAATTTTCACAAACAGATCTAAAAATATCAAAGAAAAATATACGTAACTTCTCTGAAAAATGAAATTTTTCCTGGAAGAATAATAATGGCAACCTGTATATGTTTCTGCAACATAAGGCAGTATTTTGCAGTCGGTGTGTATCACTGTATTGTCTCGGAGATTTAGCTTGATAATTTCTTCCTGACCATGGAATCAATTGAATTTCTGTCTTGTTTTCAGGCAAAGTCACACGGATAACTGTACCTATGCTTTACACCACACATGCCAACAACTAAATTTTCAAAATTCTTTTTGAATATCAGTATCAATTTTGGCTTTTTTTCCTATTTTTTTTATAAATGATTGATTCATCCTCCAACAACAAACGAAGAGGAAAAGACCAAAAAGTTCGTTCCCCAAAAGAAATGAATTTTCAAAGTCTCAGTATTATACCGGATCCTTGGTTTTTGAAGCTGTATAAAAAAAAGCATCCTTTTACTTAACAAAATAATTTTACAATGCTCAAACTTGTTTGATAACCCTCTGATTTTGGGAATCAGGCGTTCAGAGCCATTAAAATTATACACAAAAACTGATAGCCCTGGTGCAAGTTATTTTTATCTAAGTATGATTTCTGTGATAAATGGGATCTATTCCCTTTCTCTAATTTACATTGATATCAGATGTAATCTTTGCATCCCCTTTTTTTATTGTTTTGTTTTATACTCGCAGAAGAAAAGCCCGTATATGCAGTGATTTCGCCTGCCAAAGGATTTCTTGACGAGGTTAAAAATTGAGAACCACATTATATGCTTCTCATTATGATTTCATGTAGAATAAGGGAAACTCGTGAGAAGTTTCCAAGTTCTAAGTTAGAAAATATTGTTTTGGTCTGTACCTTTTGCAACGACATAATTATTTCTGTTTGCTGAATTTCCAAAATCAGAGAAATGGAAAAATTTTGCTGAAACAAGCCCTGATTATTTGCTGAATGAATAAGATAGTATTCAATGACCATTGATTTGACCTGGGTTAATTTTTGTTTTTTCACCAGTGAGAAGTTTAATTTCACCATCTAATTCTAACATGAATGGCAAAAGTTGGTTTTCATCTTATAAGTGAATTTTGGAAGTCTTTGATATGTCCAACTTGTTTTACATGAAATTTTGGTTGGAAGTGTCTTGAGAAAGTTTAATTCTTACCCTGTCGAGTGGTCTAAAGACTAATACCTCACTATGTGCTGAATGTTGAAATTGATATACGAAGCATTAGACAAAGAGAAAGCTAAGCAATTATCAGTGGAGGTGGTGGTAGCAATGAACAAAGGAGGTATGTTATAGACTAACCAACGACAATCCATGAGAGACCATGTGTTAGTCCATCATTTTCCTGCTTTATCTCTAATTCTACCTGTTTCAACCAACAGAATTGCTCCATATTCCCTCTGTCTTCTTTGTCTATCAATTTCAAGAATCAGCCTGCCATTACCTTAAGTTTTAGGAGGTTTCTCAATATGAATAAATTTAGGTTATTTCAGTCACATCTGTAGATTGTTTTTTTTCTCTTTTTTTCCGCTCAAAAGGTTTCACTTACTAATTGATTCATCAATTCTTTTTCCTGTCCTGGAATTTTGAGCAATAAAGTATTGTACTGGGTTATCAGCTTGTTGTGATAATTACTAACTGTATCCTTTTTTTTTTTTTTTTTTTTTTTCAAGTTGAGTTGTTTCTGTCTAACTTATTTAAAGTAGTATTATTACCCTTATACATCCATGTATATCTGAATTATTTATACTACCCTTGCCCAATAACCCCTCTCTGTGTGTACTGATATTTAAGGAAATGTATTGCTACCTGGTATGTTTGATCTATCTTAACTATCACAAGTATCCACATCTACGAATTATGAAAATTGCTGTAATAATAAGGCATGGTTCATATTTGTTATCATTTTTTTTAAAATGAAAACCATGTTCCTAGCAGTCCTTTGTTGTTGTTCCAGTTTTGTAGACAAGCAGGATTGTAATGTTCAACAAAGTGAATTTTACGTTCAAGATAGCAATTACTTATTTCAACTCACCACTTAAATATCTGCTATTCTGAGTAATACAGAATGAAAGGAAATCATAGCTGGACTTTAGTGTACGAGTTGTGCTGTATTCCTCAGCTGAGCAGAGGTGGATCCAGCAGTTCGACAACAATAGCACTTCCTCACTTTAACATGTGCTGAATAATTGATTTTTGTCTGTAAATGCAACTGAGCTGCATAAGTTCCAAGGAAACAAAACTCGCTCCTTATGTTACATGTAAAAGAAATAAAATTGCTGCTTACTCTCTAAGTTTTAGCGCTGAATCAGTTAATTCAAGCAATGAATGACCGAACAAAAAAATGAATAAATTAATTGATTCTGATTTAATTTTTTTTTTTTTTTAAAAAAAACACCTGTGCTTTTTTTTTAAAAAAAAAAATGAAGAAGAGATAGAGAATTGAACACAGTTTTGGAATCACGTCTGCCCAATTCTATTGGAAAGATGTGCATCAAGATTGAAACTCAAACCACTCGGGTTCAACTCCTATGAAAATTCACCGTTGCACAATCGAAAAATTTACTACGCAGCTTAAAATCCAATCTTGCATTGTTCTAACTATCTAATGAAAGGAAAAGTTGATTGGTGTTGTAAGTTTTTGGAATGCAACAAATGCTCTTATATCAAAATAGCTGCTCGCAGTGTTCTTAGTTTTTCAACTACATTTCATTATCCTGTGATAGTGGATTACATCTGCAGCCAAATTTTTCTGAGATTGCAGGAGTAAGCAAATTGAAAGTTAACAGTAATTTTTCATTCGCTTTAGTTGTTTATCCTAGGAGAATACAATAACAGATCTTTTTAATTAATTATAGAGTATTTTTTGATGTATCAAGCTTAAGAAAGCCTCTGTGGAAGAGTCTAAATGTGATATTTCCGGTGAGACAAGTTAATTTTCGAAGCTCTCGAGTAACTGATTATTCGCCATAATCAACCATCAAATGGTTTTTAGGGCGTGCAATCAAACAACTCCATTCACCATCCCCTTCCCCTTCATTTTATGTACATTGATTTTTTGCCATTCCAATGATTTTTTTGTGTGATATTTTTTTCTCTTTCCTTGTATATTTACTTCATCTTTTGGTAGGGAAAATAACAACTAACCTTAATCTCAGCTGCATGAAACCTCGGCCAAGTGGAGTGAGAAGTTTGTCAAAAAAACTTCACTCACTCGCTTGTTTTCTTAAAAAATCAACAAGACTGTATTGTTTAATTTTAGTAGGCATCTGCAAATACTTTACATTGAAACTAATTGTAAGTTGAAATTTCTTTTCTTTGTCAGAAATTCTTAGTGGATGAGTCACCACATTTGTGTCATTATGATGTAGTTGACATACTGGTGATAAGTAGAGTCCCTGCACTTTAGAAAAAACCGATATCATAGGGTTCTTAAAAGTAGTTCATTCTTTTTGATAAGCATTAAAAAATTCACATTTTATATCGATTGGCAAAAGCACCCATTGATCAAGAAAGATTTCAGTTGTAAAAATCTAACTGCAGCCAAAGAAACAGTGATCGAGTGTCGATCGAACTTTAGCTTTTCTCTCTCTCTCTGTAAAGTGTGAATATGACTTTCACTTTAAACTTTCTCGGGTTGATCATCAGTGGCGTGGCTTGCTTTGCAATATATCGATTGATCTGCCATTTAAACCCATGCAAAAGGATTGCTAGATAGGGTGTTTGCAACCAACACCTCAATAATCCATGTTTTACTGTAGTTTTAAATGGGGAAATATCAATAATCAATCATTCATGCCTCGCTACTGTTGATCATTTGAGCATATTACATATTCGAGGAACTGTACATTTTTAAAATTGTTAACATTTTAGACAAATGTAGTGTAGGAAAGTGATATGCTGGTAATTTTTTATTAGGAGTTTTATTTTACTGCAAATTGTAAAGTGTATGTTTTGATATTGCACACAATTTCTTGATCTCATTCATCCTCTTTCACTTAACAGCTCTTGCTATCTATTGAGCCCATTTTGAATGCAGAATTTTATCAGTGGGTTCTCAGGTTAATATAAATGGATTCAAAATGAGCCGTATTTCGCCATCATTTTTTTCTTTCAGAAAATCCACAACAACATTTTGATATTCAGATAAGCGCTTTAGATAATGTGGTAGAGAATACAAGCTATCGAACGGAAAAATCCCGAGATCTGTCTTTTGTACATTCTTTGTTCTAAAGTTATATTAAATTTTAAAAAATAGAATGTTCTTTCAGGCTCAGTTTGCTTTTGTTTTGCCACTATTTGCTAGTTAGTATTTAAGTTCTGATAAGTTATCGTTTCTGACTATCAGGGGATCTGTAATGCGTAATTTTTTATGTTTTTAAAAAATAATAGAACCGAGGGAAGTGAGATTGATAATTAGTTTTTTCTCCCCCTCGAGCAGCATGGTCTGCAAATAATTATGACATCTATCTTTTATGCTTCTGATGAAATCTCATCAGTTATTTCTTTTACAAGCACTTAGTTTAACAAAAGTATTTTCCATTCAAGTATCACGAGTTACTTGCAATTTAAAAAAAAAAAAAAAAAAACAAATAAACATGCCTTCCCTTGATGAAGGTCTATTTTTCCCCTGAATATTAATAAAAGGAGATGGTACGGATGATGGAAAACTTTGGCGCTGAATGAATTTTGCTATTTTTTCATATACTTACATAACATGTGTGCTTTACCAAGCTCCTGAAGACAGTGAACTTTAGAAATTCAATTTTCAATATGCCAAGTTTGGGGAAAGTAGGATGAAAAATTGAATTTTTCAGTGGTTTTAAACGGTCGTTCTCATGGTATTGTTGTTGCACCGTCACTTCTGCTTTATTTAATTTAGAACAATCCTCTGTTCTGATATCGACGAGACCATTCGCCTTATGTTTTTATCACTGGGAAAAATGTTGGTTCTTTTCGTCAAGAAACACCAGAACCTAAGGGCGTCCGTTTATTCCCCTCGCTGGTGAAGAATTGAAAGCCATCTTCAATCATGTTGCAATATTTCTGCGAGAAACTGAGTGTAAAATGTGTAAGGATCAACTTTTTAGCCTTGTATATTGGCATATAGGAAGTCGCATTTTTCAAGCTCATCGTGTTAGGAGATTGTGAAGAACAACATATTGAGCTTCCATGAGCTCTGGATGTTTTTCTAATCCATGCGCTTTTTTCTTTATCCGTTAGAAACAGCTACAGTGGTAGGTAAAAATGTCTCATGAGGGGGTGTCAGAGGAGGAATATGGTAACTGAGGATTTGTTTCCATCAAATTAATGTTCGATTGAGCGAGTTCAAGAGGTTGAATGTGTTCACTAATGGTGAAGTCAACAGGATTAGCTGTGTCATTCCAATGGTTTAGAAGTCCTTCCCTACGGCAATGATCCCCCTGGGGTCTCAATCATTTTTGTAACAAGTTTAACCTTTCAATCCATTATGCGGAGGATAAATAATCTTACTCACTCATTGCATGCTTTTTTAAAAAGGAGTGACTTCAATATGCAATCCAGTGGATGTGTGCAATACACTGGCTTCATTTAATCTACATGTATCTCACCTACTGTAGCGTTGCAAACTTTATATTCAAAGAGGGGATTTGAAAGAAAATCTGCCTTCTTATCTTTTGAGCAAGTCATATGGTGCTTTTTGGATGGTTGATACTTTCAAATTCCTTACATACCCAACCATCACTTTCGAATTTTTATTTAGCAAATAAAGAACAAAGAGTCAGATTAATGTGAAATTAATTATCTTTATGGTTGGCCAAGGTCTACTGTTATTTCGTGTTAAATTTTCGGAAATGATAAACCAATATCTTTTTGTGAAATAATAAGAGAAAGAGTTGATCTGACCTTTTTCTCAGAATATTCTTCCAAGTGGATAAGCTCTGAAGAACAAAAAGCTCCCATAGTGCACGATCTATGACCTTTCAAAGGTATGGGTAGTGCCTAGATTAGTTTCTAGACGATGCAGAAATAGATTTGAAAGTTGAGGTCACTTTTTTGTCTATTTTTTTAAGAGAAATAATTTACTTCAAGAAATACGTTTTTATTGGAAACTGCTCTCCAACATGCGCAGAATAAATTAAAGAATACCTTACTTTAACTCCATACAAAATCATTATGTGGACAAGAAATGTTGGTTTTGATCTAGTGCAAGAATTTTCAGTACCTACACAATGAAGTCAACCACTATCCATTGTAATATTTTAGGCATTGGATGTAAAGTCGACAATGCTATGTTATTTTTGTAGTATTATTCAGTGTTTTTGAGAAGACAATATAATTAAACTTGTATGTTGTATGAATCTCATTCTGTCTTACCCCTACTCCAGATATCACCAATGGAATCTATTTAATCATAGGTAGAACTCAGGTAAATTGGCAGTTGTTTACTTTTGATTGACAAACACAGTAGACAGATTTACGTTTCTGCTAATGGCAGCAGCGTTGACCGAGGTCAATCCTTGATGGCCATTGGACGATTCCAAGGCGGTCGCTTGCAAATGAAAAGTACGCAACAGCAAACTTATATGATGCAAGTTCTGTCTTATTATAGTATACTCTACCACAAGTACAGTGAACTGCTCATTCTGTCAACTTGAACTGGCTGGAAACACTTTAATACGGATAGAATTCCAAGGGTTGGAGGTTAGCTATCTTGCCTGCAGCCTGATTGTTGAAATGTTGTGTTTGTCGGGTAGACATAGACGACATAGGTTAAAAGGCGGAGCGTCGTTGGTCAGCTATGTCTTATCGCTGCTTTATCATACCTTTGTCAGGTGGAATGGACAACATACTGTCAGAAACTTAAGAGGTGCCTTTAGCTTGTCATGAATTCCACAGGACATAGGCACGACGAAGCGGCGATAAGACATATGCGACCAATCACGCTCCGCCTTTTAACCTATGTCATCTATGTCTACCTGACCAGCACAAAATTTCAACCATCAGGCTGTAGGAGTGGGGAGAGATTGGCGTTTGGTGGGCAGTTGAGATATAAAAATTTTATGGTCAGTGTGAAATATTAGGTACATTAGGAGTTAGAAAATTTAGAATCCTGATTTTATCATCAAAAGGGTAAATTCGATTCATCTTACAAGGAAAAAACATGATATGAATGGATTGAGTCTAAGACATATCCACCTCTTTGAATATTAACTTTATTATGGGTCCACGTTCCCTCGAAAGATTTATTGTAAAAAATATTTAAGGCATGCTAATCTAACAGTACTTTCCCTACGTAATTTGAATTTCCAGTTGACTCGTCCCTTACTTAATATTAGTAAAAATGATTAACTTACACCTCCCCCCCCCCCAAAAAAAGTAAAAAGAATATCAGTCCCAAATCACCCTTAAATTTTGCACCATAATAAATTTGTCAAAAAAAATGGAAAGAGTAGAAGAAATCACGGCCACGGCGCAATTTTGACTTGAGTTTTAAGGAAATTTTGCAAGACTCAGAAATAAAAACCAAGTCGGAGCTTTAGAGGATTGGTCCAAGGAGCTTATTGATCGGGAGCTTTGCATGCTGTCTCAACTATTGCATGATCAAATACAGCAGAGAAAGAGATTGTTCCATCTCCCATGAGAGCTGGCCCCGTGTCATGGACAATCCATTTTTTCAAAGATGATACAATAACAGTAGCATGTGAGATATTTAAATATGATGGACTCTTTAGTTAATATCTATCCTGTAGGAAGGAGGGTCAAAAGTAAAACCTTCAAGTGCATACATCTTTTAAACGAATCAGCACAAGACAAACAAGAAAGGCACTGGCAACGTTGACACGGTATAACTCCTGATGTAACCATTTCCCTAACAAGTTGTTTGCTGTTTAGTACAAAGAAGCAAGAGTAAAACCCAAAATACTAGGTTTTATTTTGGTGGTAACATTGAACATTGCCAAAATAAAACAAAATTGAAATTCTTGTACCCTAAAAAGTACCTCCCTCCCTCTTTGGAGACCTATGTATACCCGGAAGTTGACCAGATTTGGAAGTCACACATGCTATTACATCATCCTTGAAAAGCTGGATTGTTTCTGACCGAAGGCACAAATCAACAGTAGATGGATGGAACTATCTCTCCCTGACGGCAAAAGAATAAAAGCCTCGATTTTTCCAAGTCCTTGGTCCAAAACATTTGCATATTATTTTGAGTGCTTTAGAAACAGAAATTTTCATTTCACAGGTTGAAAGAACACTGATTCTGCTTTTAATTAAATACAACAACCGCCAGGTGACAAAGAAGGAGGAACAGCTCAATTATAATCTATTCTAACAATTAAATCGACGTTATCTTTACAATAACTTAAGTTCTTAGTTTAATCGTCCTCTGTAAAAATATTTCAGTATTTTTAAATCGTTTTTATACAATAGAAAAATAAAAACTCCAAACTGCAAGGATGCAAAAATAGGAGATTTACATGTCTTTTCTCGTTAAAAAAAATAGTAACAATGGAGCAATTAGAAAATGCAAACACTTGGTCATCTGTGGTGAACAAACCATTCATCGATATATTATAAAGCAACAAAAATTTAGAAACTGATATTAAAAGTCATTCCCTTACTTCTTCTATGTATGAACAAATTCAAAAACAGATTAATATAATTGTGTTCATATTCTTGACCATTCAATTAAGATGAAAAAAAAGCAAACCACTCCTTGCTTTCTCATTCGAGACAACGCTACAGATGGGTACCATTTTACACGTTTAATAAATAAAAAAGTTGCTGCAACTATCTACTCAAACTTGTACAGAATGCTGAAAATCTTATGGAGGAGCACAGATCAATTTCTCACATCAGATACTCATCTTAGGACACATAGATGAAAAATTTAAAATTTATGAAACAAATTCTGTACAAGGACAAAATTAAAAGTCTTGGAAAACTTTCATCGATTTTCAAGTCATGGGACCACTGATAAATTATGGTCTCGATGGGCTTCGAAATTACAACATTTAGACACTTCGGTGTGGGAAATGCATAAAAAGATTCCGATGTGACAAAACTTGAGACATGGAAGGTTGCTACAGGGATGTCTACTTGGACAGTTTTGCAAATCAATGATTGGGAAAATGCATTCAGTAATTTCAATGAGCTAAAACTTTGATTTATCTACGCAGTAACTGCCAGTTTCATGAGATGTTGAAAGTAAAAAATGCAAAACTGTACAGATTTCCATAGGATTGAAAACTTTTTTCTGATAAGAACACAATGACCCTTGAATATGCTTAGAAACTTCATTGAAATAGTGCTAGTATCTACATTCAGAAGACAAAAGGATAGAATAGGGACTTATGAACAAGGCACGCCAAGCAGTTTTAAGCTTTGACGATTAGATCTTTGACGCATTGGAGCACTGCAAGCAATTCGCACTACCTACTAGGTCTATCTGTGCAAATGTTTAAATTCATTGCTCTCGACTCTTCTCTAAGATGTACACAGAAAATTACTATATTTTTCAGGCCATTGGAGCTCTTTGTGATGAAAAATAAGTAGATACCCCGAAATACTGACCCATGAAAGTTACCTAATACATGCTTGAAAAGGAACATCGACCTGAAATAAAATCATACTCAATGTACTGTCTGAAAGCTTAACAGGAACCTCTTAAAGTAGGTATTTGTAATCGTATTGTCTGGTAGAAAAAGAGAAGCATTAAAAAATTATTACATAAAATTAGACAACATTTATAAAATGATAGTTCCCTGAAAAAATAAAATTATGGGAGATGCATACAGCCTGACAGAGTCCATGGGGAAAGCAGAAGTTATGATTTGCTCAGAAACAATTTGCAGCAAAGTATCGAACAACTACAATATAATCATCATTTAGAATTTGGGTTTGCCACTTAATCAAAGCTCTGCCAATTTTTTAATGAAAAGTACAAGGAATTGATTCTTTGAAACCTCATTTTATGTCAAGGCGATAAAAAATCATTTGAAAATCAGACAAAGGTTTTACTTGGAGGCCCTGAAAGGAAATTCGCCATACCATAATCAGATAAACTAGAGATAAATTTTGAAAATATTACTTGAATTGTTCTCATTGTCAACCATACATATAAGAAAAACCCCTCAATTTTCTGTTTGATTTTGAAATATATTCTATCAATGAGGGCTTAAAAAGACCCAGTCTTAACATTTTTCAGCACCTTTTTTTTAAAAGAAGTTTTTAAGTAAAGTCTCCAAGAACTTCAATACCTACGTCCTTGGCACATACAAGTAAATATGGGACTGGAAGCAAAACAGTGCACCAAACCACTGCTGTGCTAAGGAAAAATTGCGTAAGAACATTTGAGCTTTTTCACATTTCCTCTGATAAAATTTTCACTTTTAAGGAGAGTTATGAATACTTTCTTTTGATATTTTCAGATAATTTACATCTGATAACATACAAAAATTTCTGAGAAATTGAAAGAAAGGTATTCATAGATTTCCCTGAAAATTCGTATTTTATCAAAATAAAATCGGCAACGTCTGAAGCTCACACAGCATTCTTCCTTAGCATGGCAGACTGCAATAAAAGAAACAAAGGGAAAGCTTGACAAACAGACTAATCAGAGGTAATGGTTTTCTCTATGACTTGGGAAGATATGGATCCTTCAAATGGACATACTTCTACCTAACAGAACTATGTGCATTAAGACATGAGCCCTGAGACCCATAAGAATACATGCATAACAGGACTCACGTTATAATGCACATAGTTCCGTTTGACAGAAATTCCTCCAAATATAAGAAAAAACTCAGAAGGGGAAAAATGTAGCTCCTTTGCTGGACTAGTAAGTGAGGTCGAAAGAAAATTGAGAAGGGATATTTGAAGGAGTAAAAATTTAAAAATAGGTAGTCTAGTAAAAAAATAAATATCAGGCAGCTTTTTGATGAACGTCCATAATTAACATAAGTTGATTGCTGACATTCGAGCAAATTAAGAGACATTGTGAGCTGAGAAAATTAGAAAAATTCATTTTGATATCGTCTTGACACAAATTTTTGAGGGAAGTCCTGTTGGGACAGGAATATTTCTCCTACAAGCACTTGTGTATTCCTATCAAATAATTACATTTATGTTTCTTTTACTGAGAGTTTGGAACAGAAAAATTGGTTGCTTAGAAATCACAGAAGGGCCACTTAAGCATTTGAGACTGATCCCATTTTTGAGCATAGTTGGAAAAATTAACAGAAGAGGAAAATTGCTATCATTCAGAAATATTTTTCCTTCTCCACTTTCTAATATCACCTTGCGGGGGAAGTGTAATTTGTTGATAATGTTAAAATTTGATGGTTCGATCCAAAGGAATAGCTCTGACAGTTGGGAGAGGAGCTGATAATTAATCTTACATTGAGCATCTGTTTCAGTGTTCCTGAAATTCGAAAACCGTTTGCAAGATGTTTAAGATGACTGATATTTTATTAATCTCTAAGACCATTTATGCATGGTATTTACCTGCTCCTACCCAATGCAGAATCGATTGGTTTCAGGGTACAAGGAGAGGGCAGTAGTTTCGTAACAAGGGCAGTATCATTTTTAATTATTGTGATGAGAAAAAAAGAAAGAAAAAACAGAAGGAACATTTTGTTGCCTCTAATTGCTAATTGAACCCAGCCACTGTCTCTCTTAAATTACTTGAATCATCTACACAGGCAGGGAAGCAGAAAGTTCTTGGCCTTCCCATTTTTCGAACTGGCCTCCTCACAATGAAAACCTCTTTACACCCCTAAATTTCAAAGCTAAGACCTTTCCTCATTCACCAATTGCTGCCATTTTGCAAAAAAACGTGCAAATTTCATGATGAAATACGCAGTTTTAACACGATTGCAAGCTGGCCTTCCCAGTAATTCAAGCAGGTGGCTAACCCTACACACTAGTCTCTCCGACTGTGACAATATTAAAATTCAAAATTGTTAATAATTTGTAATTGTACATCAAATCTTGTACTGGTTTTGCTTCTATAATATGGGAGAAGGAGACGTAGGTGTCAATGTTTGGGAGTATTTTAACCACTAAAATCACTGATGAATAATAAATACTTTCAAAGTACATAAATGAGGAGTTCTTTAAAGATCTTGGTCTTCAGAAATGTTTACTTGAATTTGACAGAGCATTGAACAGAAGACCAAAAGAACTGTGTTAGGTGAAAGAATCATACCTTACATTTTTTCATCATTATAACCTTTTACTTAGCGCTGGGGAAATAATGTTGAAAAAACTGCTTGAGAGAAATGGTTGCACATAAAATGGTTTAACGAAAGATTTTACTAAAAAGTAGAAACACCATGTTTCATCCAAGTTTGAAAATGTATTCCAAAATATTTAAAAAATGTACTTCAGTTTAAGTAGAATCTTGCAAGAAAGGGGGGGGGGGTGGCTCTCATCACTCAAACTCAAGAAGCTGAAGCTTTCATAGAAAGTATGAATTTTATTTATTTGGGTTATGATTGTTCTTGGAATTTTTAATTTTTTCAAATTCTAACTTAGAAATAAATTTGTTTTACTTGTCAATATGGAAAAAAGAAAAAATATAATGAGAGCTGGTGCTTGAGTTCTTCTTCAGGCTTTTAATAGGTATTCTTTCAAGCATCAAAAGCAGTTGAATAATACAGCAATTAATTTATGGAGTATAAAAATTCATTCTAGATACGTTAAATCTTCAGCTGCTTTTGATGCTGGCGCATGTTGCCCTTACATTTCAAACTCAACTCCTTGCTGCATTTAGTAATGTCCTGGCCTCTGCACTCAGTATATGGAGTCTCGTCAATATTTTCCTATCAACTCATTCGCACAAATGTGAATAAGATTTCACGCTTTACCATCCGCTACTTGGCTATTCTTAGGAATGCCAGATCTAACGACAGAGTTCTGACGCTAAAACAAGTTCCTTTGAAAATTCCATATGATACTCAGTACTTTTGTAGAGAGGGGGTTTGAACTATGCCACTGTAACATATGAATGTCCCAGAGAGGTGAGAGATGATATTTCTACATTTTTGCATTTATCGCCAGTTCTGTTCCTTAATGAACACAAGACTTTCAAGTTGTAAAATATGACGTCAACTTAGGCTTTAGTTTGTCCATGCTGTGAATGTGAGCAGGGAATAATTTTCAGTCTAAAGAAACAAAGAGCAGTTACACGACCAGACCCACAGTAAATTTGATTCCAATGCCACTAAAAATCGTGCGGGAAGTTCCCAAAATCAGGTTGGTGATATAAAGAATCATGCCAAAAGCAAGTCTTACATCCTAAAAGTAAAAAAAGATATATAAACACAGAAGTGTTACTTGCATGCATTAATAAAAGCATAAGTTGTGGAGCGCAGAAAGAGCCTGAATAATGTTCATCGTATCATCCGAATTTCCGCTTGTCCGACAGATTTATCTGCGCTCTGAGGCACGTACATTTTCCATTATCCAGGCCCTTATTTTGTTTATTAAAAGTTACTTCTTGATTCAATCGTTTTTACTGTACAAATAAGTGTACTCACAAGTCTTGGACAATAAAAATAACAATATGCCTAAATAATTAGATATTTATGATTATAACAAGAGAAAATATACTCACATAAATAACATTTTTCTTGATTACTCGTTTTTGAGACTGATAAATTAAAAAAGTAGAAAAAGAGGGGCACACTGGGCAAAAACTGCAAACTCAGTAGATGGAAAAGGAAAAAAAAATATATTGACAATGATGTAAGGTCATTGATCAATCAAAATCTTTCAATAAAGCATGAACATTTTCCATGACATCTCAATGTTTTCTCAAATCTTGCTGAAATCTCGGATTTAAAATTATACTTGAAATTTCTTTTGGGGGCGAAAATCTGCAGACTTAGGCCGCAAAATCAGAATTTTAGAAAATGCTTCTAAATGTACAAAATTTTTTCATTAAAAAAAAAATAAAAAAAGAAATTCATAAAAGAATCAAAGTTCAGCAAACCAAATGAAACATTAGAGCATCATTTTCCTTTCTTTTTTTTTTTTTTTGTTAAAGCAACATTGGAGAGAAAAACTGCTGAACCCATTCCCTTTTGAACAGAAAACCATAGGCATTCTGACTTCAGCTGACCATGATTAAAGTTTCTACCATGTGCAAGGGTAAAAGCAAAGAAAAGTGAAGAAAGATTCTAGTTGATAAAAATTAGGGGGGCCATTCTTGGAAGGATTTTTGATAAATCTCATTGAAGTAGCGAAAAAAGAAGAGGATGAAAATTAAATAAATTAATGGATAAAAAATTGAAAAAGATGAGGAGAATATAAAGGCAAGTTGGCACATGAAAAGTCAATTATAAAAACTATGAGGCGTTATCACCACATCCAATTTGCTGCAGCTGATTGCCACCATAATTTGGGTTACTTGTATTGCATAAGATGGAATATACACTATCAACTTTACTTAGTTGTTCGAAGAACGGAATTAGATCCAGTAACTCTGTGTCAGTCATGTCATTGAACCACGAGGCAACAGGCACCTGAAAACATACAAAAAACAATAAATTGTTGGCAATTACATATCATATGGGGGGGGGGGGATAAGGATTTCCAAACCGCGTTCCAAAAATTAATACTAGAGTTTAGAAATAATGAGGTCATTACAGAGTCTACAACTTGGTTGTAATGAAAAAGAAGGAGAGTTTCAGAGATTCACACTGATTTTTTGTCCACTTTTCGTTACTACCATACGCTTTGTTTTTCTTGTATCAAAAACTGTGGGAATTGACTACTTGCAGGCCACTGAGCTTGTTAACCTGTTTCTAATCCTTGCATTTTCAGGAACTGCATTGTCTACTGATCACGCAGTTAATTTTTTAGATTTTTCCAAACCGTTTTTCCCTCCAAAAAGGACTTTGGAAGTTCGAAATTTAAAACATGTTTGCCCGCGCTTTAGCGGCAATCCAACATGGCGTCCAAATTACCCCCCCCCCCTTCTTGCCACACATTCGACCAGACACCGTCAGCGGAACCTCTACGCGTTCGAATATTGAGGCTAATCAAAACAACCAACTGGCTGTTATCAATTTCACCTTTTGACAAAGATTTCACTCGTTTTTGGAATATTTTCTGAACTGTTATTCGTTCAACTGAAGTATCTAACCCTGCTTTACAAAGATCTCAACCTGCCATCTCCTTGGAACGTTGGGAAATCCGGAAATATCACCCAAAACTGTGTTAGTTATATGTGTGTGTGCCTATCACTTATCTAAAGGTGTTTGTTTTTCAATTGGAATCGCCGTGTTTTCGGTGTTGGGGTTAACATAGCACAGGATTTTTAGAGTGTTTGTCGTAATCAAAATATACATCCAAGTGTTCTTCTAATGATACATTTTCTGCAGTCGTACATAGATTCTTGCACTTGCAACCATTCAGTATTCTAACAATTTTGACATTGGACGGGCATTGTGCTGCTAGAACATCTGATACCAAACTTGATATACAAAGCACTAAAAATGCAGTGATAAAATTTAAAAAAATCCGGAAGAGATCATTCATCAAAATCGTACAGTCTAGCCTATAACATCCGGCTGGTTAACAACATACACTGTCGCTGCCACGATGGATTTTGCCTCTATACCTGATCTAGCAAATAAGTTCAAATGCTAATCAGCCGTACAGAAACTTCCTGATTATGTGACCACAAGCGCCAGAAAAACGGGAAAGCCAGCTTGCCATACTATGAAAATTAGAGTGAAAACGGTGTTTTTTGCATAAGCTGCTGTAATAATCGCGTGCTTTGGGCAAAAATAATAATTCACACTTCTCTTTGGAAAAAAAAGGTCATCATATTGAAAAGGTAATCAAAATAAGAAGGGCAACTTGAAGAAAAGACAATTGCATGGGCATTGTAGGAATTGTTAACATCTCAAACGCCTTTGTTGATGCTAATAGGCTAACTTAAAAAAAAGTCCCGACAAAACGCCTGCAAAACAACTACTCACTGCATTGTCCGGATGGAAGACATAAGATGCTGGCGAGTTATCAACAATCACAACTCTTTGTAGGTCACGGCCAAGCCTGGTCAGATCTTTGACGTAATTCCCCCGATGGAAGACACATGATTCTCTAAACAGCCTTGCTCGTAGTACACCCCATCGGTCCAATAAGTCCGCGACTGGATCTGCATACTGCAAATAAAATGAGATTTAGTTACTCCACGACGAAAAAGCAGAAATAAAAGGTAGTTTTAGCCAACAGTTAAAAGCTGTCCATAAATTCAATCACTCTCCAAGGAAGGGAGGAGATCCAGCTCTGATTATGTCACACTTCTTAAGATTTCCTTAAAAGTTGAAAAGTTAATTTAAAGTCAATCATGCCGTGAAAATGCTGCAGAGTGCAAAAATTTCATACATTTCTTCAATGCTTGTTGATATTTTTTCATTAAAAAAGAAATCTAACCCATCCAAAACACACCATTAGTGGTTGCTTATCATTTCTCTGCATTATGCTCATTTTGTATATCTGAGTAATGCTGCATTTTTCCAGTTGCAGCAATAAATAAGTCACATAGTATTTCAACATTATTTCCATGGGCAAAAAGGAGTTGATGACATCGTTTTATTATTTTATAGGTGGAAAATGTGTGGACTTGCAAGACAGGTGGGAGGGAGGGGGTCCGAAAATCCGGTTAATAAAGTGATAAAATTGATGGATGGCCTTTGAGTGTGCTGGAGATCATATTTTACAGGCATTGCAAAGCAGCCAGTCTTTCTTAATTATCTGTCCTTGTCAATAATTCTTAACTTCTGAATATTCAACATACAACTTTACACATACATAGTGAACTTAGTTTGGCTACCCTTCCCTATCAATAAATTAGAGCCAGAAGGTTATGATAGACATTTTTGAAAACAAAAAAAACAAAAAAAAAAGCTCTTACAGAACATTTCTTGGACTGTCCAAGAGGAAACAGAGGAAACAGTCAGAGCAGTTTAATGGTTGGCTTAACCACAAGCCTTCCTTCCCTTTCTGCCATCTCCTTAGTTCTCCTTGGGGGTTCAAGCTTCGCGCACTCTTTATTCTGTTCACTTTGCCTGATGCGACAGCTTCTTAGCTCTTGCCCATACCATGTTTCCAATTAATCTTTGACACCGGTGCAGCAGGCTCTGAGGCACCAAGTCTCACACCTATTTTCAGCAATTTGTCCTCACCCCCCTTTTTGGCTTTGGTCAAAAGCGAGTAACCGTGATTTACAGCGTAAAGCTCCTGGCTGGGCGTCAAATGCCCATGCATGTCCTCGGTAGCTGGTGCACACATAAAAAAAAAAAAAAAGATAGCCTTAATCAAAGCCAGCGAAAGAACTAAAATCAAATTTTCTTCCCTGAAGAAAAACTTTTCTGCGCCTTTTAAAATGAAGAGACAGCCTCAACTATAAATATTCTTCAACAGTTGGTTTTATTGTTTTTTATTTCAGAATGATTGATAGGGGGAAAAAAAATGATATGAACTTTTATAATTAAAAAAAAAGTATTTACCTTAGCAAGACTAGCTGTAAAAAGCACACACTCATAAAGTTCACCCATACGTTGGAGAAAATCATCTACGTAAGGCCTTTTCAGGACATAGACTTGATGTATCTGTCCTTCCATTTCTACTGGTACTACAAAATCAGCATTATTGATTGGCTATAAACAATAAAATTAAAATCAGAGTATACAAACACACTTAAGGTCATTAAATTTACATCTTGCTGTTAATGCCATATTTACAAGATGGTTACACAGGAGTGATAAACCAGAGGCTGAATTATCAGTCTAATTTCAGATATGAAAGAAGCAGACACTTTTCAAACCTGAAAAATCAGGGCAACAGCATTTATAGCTTGGAACTTGTAATCCCCCATTCTCCCCCCCCCCTAATTTTAAGATACAAAATTTCAAAATACAAGACACAAATCTCCCAAAAACTAATAATTACAAATGATCATTTAGAAAATGACAGTGCCAAGTTGAACTTGAACCATTAAAGCATGCATTGGTTTTCAAACGTGTCTTCTTCGGTCTAGAGATATTAAAAATGTATTGTACAGGGGAAGAATGCCTCCCTTCTCTGCATTGGATACAGTAGTCCGCTATCATGCAACCTCAGCCCAATACGATGTGGAAATTTTGCGGAGCCATAAAAAACCAAGAATCAGACTAATCACTGATGAGCAACTAAACTTCCTGACTCGTTTTGCTTGGTTTTATTACCTAGCACTTCCTGGTTTCCCTGTTGGTAACATCCCTGTGCATTTGGCTAATGATGAGTTCAATAATACCTGATACTCATTTGCAGCTACTTTCTTGATTTATCACTATTAATACTATGCTGGGTAGGAAATTATACCTCTCTGGGGCAAGATTCCACTCTGTCAGCCTGTTCCCTCTGATATGAAAGTATTCACAGAGAATTATGATGTTTTTTTTGGCTGACTATAAATAGGAATTTATGTAGCTTGGTGCATCAAGTGTTTGCTCATTTCTGCTTACTGTTTAACGTTTTAACTGCCTCCGTGAGTTGTGAGGCGTCAAAAACTAGCAATTAAGATGGACATCACTCTGAGGCAGTGGTAGCATCATCTTTCATACGCAAGGGTAACATACGCTCAGAAATGTACTGATAGAGTATTCTCTCTACTCAGCGGAAATTATTTAAGAATGACTTTCATATGCGCTGGTCCCCGGGGACCGGTAAGGCAGTTTGAGTGTTAACCTACGCTGGAGATAATATGATTAGGAACAAAAAGAAAAACAGTGGAGGGATTTACTTTAATTCATACCTTGAAAGAGCTGTGAACTAGAGTTTCGTCCAAATCAATTACCATACATTTTTTATGCATGTCTTGATGCCGGACAGGTGGTAAGAGATAGCTTTGATAAGATCGGGGTAGAGTTGGTGAAGCACGGTTAAGTCTGGAGTTGAGTGCAACATTGTTGTCTCGACCTCCCCAACAGCAAAGCAACGATCGAAGAAAGCCCCTGGCGCCAGCCTTTTTGGGTGTCAAGGCTAAAAACAAAACAGGGAGATATAAGTAAAGGAATATGAATGAAGGAGAATAAAACTCTGAGAACTTTTAACTTTCAAGATCCCTCCCACACCTCCAAAATTCAAAGGAATAAGGACTGCTGTAGGATAGACATCCTTGGAGTAATACTTAGAGATTGCAAATCATAGATTTATTAAAAAATTTTCTTACATATTCCTAAGCAATATTTCTGTGAGTTCTTTACAAACTTACTTAAATGTAAAGAACTCATGATCTTTTTCATTGTAGCATTCAAAAAATTCCATAAATTGACAAGATTTCGAATAATAATTGATTCTAAAAAAGTACTCAAAGATTTTTCTCTCCAGAAACTTTTTCATACCTAGTTTACTTGATAGTGAGACTTACAAGATTAAGACTCGCTAGGTGTAACCTGCGAATGAAATTTTTTTATCGTTTCACTGACTAACTAGGTTAAATCTGAAACAATCTCCTCTGTAAAAATCTAAATTTTGCTAGAACATTGGTTAGCATGTAAATATCTGTTAAATGGTGCAATTTTTGGATGTGACATTTGTCTATTCTTTTCTTTCCCCCCTTCTAGATAATGTAACTTACCAACTTCCGTGTTTTCATTTTCACCTGAGGGCAGAAACTTGCTGCCTTCAGGACTTTTGTTTTCGCCATCCGGTAGAAAGACTGGAAAAAAATAAGAAAACAAAAATGACTGTCTGACCACAAAAATTAACGCGCCAACTTGTGCATGTGAAAATACATCCTGGGCATAGCTGGATGGGGAGGGGCAGGGGGATATGCACCACATGACCCATAATTTAGATAAAAAATGGTCAATATCTGCAATGTCCATCCAATGCCCCCCCCTCCCCTGACAAATGTCTAGGTGTGCCACTGGAGTAATTACATTGATATCAACTTTTACGCAACTCTGACAAGCTGCTTTCCTTCTCCCTTTTGCATTGCATTATTGTAGAAACTAAGGTGATACATGAAACTGACGGTTTTCAAGGTTCAGACATTAGCTTCGGTGGCTACTCACATCAGAGACATTGTTATTTATTGTACCTAGCGATAAAATGAATTCAATAGGGAGACGAGAAGGGGAAAAAAAATGTGATCAGTTAAGGATGACTCAATTTCAAAGGGACAAAAGACATGTGAACTAATCTCATATTAGTAAGCAAACCCTCAATACTGATGAATAAGAAACGGTGCAACATCAAAAATTTAGTGTCAGATTCAACTAAGGGGTTTTTTTACGAACGGTGGTACCACCGATCACCAAACTGCGTTCTTTAACTCACTGGTCGGTACTGACATCACAACTGGAGGAGCCATCGCCAGTGGATTTGGTGCCACCAACCTACCGCTCGGAGCACTGGAGATTTCTCCGGAACTTTCAATCCACCGGTGGAGACAATCTAACCCTCCTATGCCCTACTTCAGCCAGATCTCAGGCCAAAAATAAACAAACAAATGATAAAACGTGGGTATTTTGCGCCCGCCACCGCCGCTGAGTCTGGTGATTCCGCTCTGCATCGTCACTATTGCCTAGGCATTGGATTATGTAATATTCAGGTTTTATTAGTGTTATTTTTCCTCGTACTTTAATAATAGCAGAAAAGGAGTTAATGCTGGTACATTAAGTATATATTTATACTATTGCAATATCATTGTGGTAAAGGTTTGAAGAGAGGATGAAATCCATTAGTTTACATTGGTGGAAAGTGCATTCTTAATCTCTCATCTGATTGCAGGCAATTTCGTACCAAAATGGTAACCGATGGAATTCCACCAATCAGATAAAGAAAACCTCTCTACAGATTAACTAATGCTTGGTCTGCAAAAAAGTATCTACAAATGAGGTGTGCAAGATCACAGAAAGCAGTTCCTAAAGCGCTCCAAAGATATTGTCACAGATTTTAATTAAGCTAAACGCAATGGATTGTATTCGGTGTAAGCTTTCAACTGGCGGTGAAGATTTTCAAAAACCAATGATATCCATTCAGACGCTAATGCTTTAAACGGGGCAGGTCCTTGCTCCCACACAACTCTCATACATAGGTCGTGATCACTAGAGTTTTTCAATGTGGTTTTGCTCGAAACAACTCAACAGAAACACATTATGCAAGGTAGAAAACTGAATCAATTGAAAAGATAAATTTTGATACATACAAATTAACCTAATTTGCTAGTTCAGATCCACAACAATTGATGTGTCAACAATTTGATTTGTCAACTTCAGGAGAAGCAGCTAAGTGTTTTACCGATCACTCCTCAGAAGAACTAGTTAAAATCGAGCGCAAAACAGGATTTACTCAATAAAGTCGCAAAAGATATGAATGTTACGTACCTTTCTCAGGTGAATAATTTCCTAGCCTTTCGTCATCGCGAGACACCTGAGTTATGATGGACGATGCGTCCATTTAAACATTTGCTAATGAACTTTCGTGAGTTCGTGATTTTGAAATACTTGAATAAAAACACCATAAATAATTTAGCAAACGGAGTTATCGTGCGAAAAATTAAATACTTCGACACTGAGGTATATCTAAAATGGCAGATGTCCTTCAACTTCAGTAGAACGACTGAGGTGAGAGGAAATAGAGTCCGTGAAGGGGATAGAAGTATAAAAAGGAGTTGCGAAAACAATTCTAAATACTCATCACACTATTGCGCATTGATTAATGCACGGAAAAACGAGAATTTCTTTCGAAAATGCCACCATCACGACAGTTGGGTTGCTCCCATTTATCATCACCATTCACAAAACGACAAAACGAAAACGACGAACGACAACAGAGGTAGTGAGCGGAGAGAGGGGCTCGGGGGGCGCCAAAGCCTGGGCCAGTTTCATTGACGTATAATACAATCTAGACCGCGCATTGGGCCCGACTTTGGGCGGGGAAGGTAAGACAGCTAGGGGGGTAAAGACGCGCCTTCAGCCTAGTTGATACCGCCGGATATACGAGCTAAGTGTACCCGTATCAGGCAACGGCACTGGCAAGACTGGCATTTCCACGAATTCCACCATTGTCTCGCCGGTACACTTGCTGTGTGTTGCTGGGTTGCCTATCGTCTCGCTTGAATTTCGTAATGCGCGGTCTAGATTGTATTATACGTCAATGGCCAGTTTTCATGGTATTTACATTCGGCAGACATACAACTCCGATGGCAAGGCTGGCTACCGAATAAAGGACGATAACCGTCCCAACTCAACTTCTCAATCTGGAAAGCGCGAAATTCAAATGCACGGGCTGTGTTTTGGAAAATCTGAAAGAATACTAATATAGAAGAATAAAAAATACTGGACCATAAAATCTTTGAATAAAACTTTGATCTTGAGTCAAATAAGTTACGAAACTCATCATTAATTAATTAATTAAGTAATTACAAATTAAATAGGTTCGACATGGTTCGACAATACAGGACAGGGACACAGGTGAGGTTATGTTTACTTTCTTCTATTTTTTGGTTTTGTGATGGTTTTGATTGTTTTGGGATTGTGTCATTGTGCTTCCTTCGCTTCTTTGTTTATTTTACAGTTCAATTCCTAATTCCTAATTGTGCCTGACGCACCTATTCATTATTTTTCTGCATTTAATCTGTATGGCCATCAATCAAAATCAGATTTCCTTTCAATTTTTCACTAGCTCATCCTTGTGACATCGAAGTAAGTTCTCACCGCAACCTCATCATGAGCTCCACAAGTGATGATTCACCTAAGAAGCCTCAGTTTGGAAATCGATTTCTTCAAAATAGTGAAGATGTATTCCTACATAATGCTTGGTATGCGTACATCATCTACCTCCATTATGAACCTCTCAGTATGTAGTTTAAGACCACACTTCATGAGTTGACATAATCTTATGGTCATTTTTTTTTTTGTTGCCATTGATTAAATATTTAACATGAGGTTTACAGGTTTTTACGAGAGGTAAAAGTGATGAATTAGGTCCAAGAATTTATTGGAAGGGGGCACTGTGACCGAGGCACACAGACATTGGAGACAATGCGCCTCTGCTAGTTGTGGCATTATCGGAAATACCGGAATCCGCCATTCGGCTACGAGTCGGTCCAGAATTATTCTTTTTATGCAAGATGTGCTTGATGTGGACCTGAACAAGTCTCCAGTTTCTTCCAGGCTCGGCCACAGTCCCTTGGAAGCTAGATTCTTCCGGTTGCTCTCTCCAGTCATGCTCTCTCTGGGGTGAAATTTCTGCACTTGAAGATGGTATCTTCTAGAGTGTTAAGAGCAGTCAGGCATTAGGGGCAGTAAGGAGGTGTGAAAATCTTAAAGCAATGAGATAAGCCTTGAAGGTCCTGTGGCACGTCGTAAATCTTTTAGTCAAGCTGCCTATAATACTACAGTTGGCTTATGGTATGTCAAGATGAATTGCAATCTCCGACCAGGGCAGAACTAGCACTGCTCCACAAGCTAATTTATGCAATCAGTTGGCACTGTTAGTGAGTGGTGGCATGTATACGTACTTGACCTCAGTCTCAACATAAAATGAGAGAGCTCCAATATCGAATGAGTACGGAAAATGCATGAAGCAAGTTTTATCCTGTTGGCCATGAAAACATATCAGGTGTGTGTGACAGTGTCAATCGCAGCAGCAAGATGGTCTGGGGTTTGATTCATGGCGTTCTCATATAAATTTTATCTGTTCTTGTGATTGTTGAGTTTTGATGTGTCCCTTCTTTCTTCTTGCTGCATTAACAAAATATTATAACAAATTAATCATTAGTATGGATACCATTTATGTGTCAAGGCTTTGAGTAGAGCTGCAGAACTCTCTCTTTGCTAAGTTTTGGAAATTTTTACGTTTAAACTTTTGGGGCCTATTTACAGAAATGCCAAAGTAGGGATCCAATAGTTTTGCAGGAAGAAGCTTTTGACCAAGACCAATCCACACAGGTTAGCTTTGTGCATCTTTTTGAAATCCACTCGGCCGCAGCCATCGTGAAAACTCATTGGCTGCTCCCTCAAGGAAAACATTGCATTTAAATTTCCTGCAGCAAACACAAACCGCTCTACATCACCACACAGTTTAGTTCCAAAACATGACTGACCTGTGTAGATTAGTCTTGCCATTGACTGTGCCCCAATCAAAATTTAGATGGTTCACTACACGACTTGTTCTTAAGAGAGATATCGGTAATAGCAGTATAAAATATTTTTTGTCTACAAAGAGTATTTACTTGTATTACTGGCTTGTTATGCTGTTTGCTATGAAAAAGGAAATTTGAAATAAATGCAGAACGAATTTTGATCTGATGAAATTTTCTGTCGGATTACTTAGAAAATAAATACGAGTCTCATAGAGGTCATTGAATAAACTTAATTTTGGAGTGACCTCAAGCTGTTAGTTGCCATTGGAGATGGAACCTTTACAGAACACAATGACTTACTGCCAATCTCGTGGACTTGACACACATTTTGTCCCATCAGGCACCTTGATCCCTCACCGGATATCCACATGGAGGCATTAAATAGTCCCTGGTGTTCAGATTTTAACTCAGTTTATTGTGAAATAAATTTCAGCCCTCTATTAGTGACCGACACCATAATTTTTGTTTTAAAATTTCTATTTAACTTGTTTCTCTGTGGTACCATTTACATATTTGTGTTGTCAGCTCCTCTTACTCTGTTAATTTATCCTCTTTTTTTTCCTTTTCCAGGGATAACGTAGAATGGGATGATGAAATGACCAAGAGTGCAGAAGCTAAGATAAAAGAGCAATTGCAGTCAGCAATGGATGAGGAAAAAGGAGCAGAATTAGATGAAGAAGCAAGCAAATATTGGGATGGATTTTACAGAATACACCAAAATCGGTGAGAGATTTAACATCCACCATCATGGATCAGTTGATTCAAACATTTGCTGGGTATGAAAACACATGTCATTGACAAAATCACAAGTTTCAGAAGAAAATTCGTTCAAATTGAAACGCATTTAAAAAATTTAAATGCATGCAGCCTAAAGAGTCTTCAATGAGTTTATTTAGTGATTTTTAATTCTTATGTCTTTGAAGGAATTTTCTCAAACTTTTTGAAAGGATATGAAACCCTGAAAAACCAGTTCAAAGTTGCATATTTTAAGCTCCCATTTATACATCCACCGCCTAAAAAGCCAAGACAATGTTCGAAATTGGCCCTGCCACTTTGGTTTATCTTTTGAGGGCGCAACTCCTCTGCCATATTTTATGATGTGTGCAGTTGTTACCATTGCATGACTGCACAGACCATTGTTTTCTGCAGACATAGAATAATAGCTACCAGAAGGGCAGCAGTCGGCCATCTTTGCTCCGATTCTTGAAATCTCCGCGATCCTTGCTCAGCCGACCGTTTCAAATTTTGCAGGGAAAAAGAGCAAAGTCCGCTTCGAAAAAGTAACTGTATGCAATCTTATGGGAGGATCTGCCACTTACCTTTCTGGTAGCTGTTATTCTATGCTGCAGAGGCACTGCCCAGTTGAGGGAGATTTCATGCCAGGAGGCATGTTTTGGATGCCAACTTCAAGATTGATAGACTCAACTCAGTCCCTTAGGGAATTTGAGTGTGATAACATTTGGAAATCGGCAGCTGGCCTATCAGCATTGCCAAAAGGTTCCCCCGATTTGCAGCTCCTTTTTAGCTGTTCCCCTCATCCTATTACATACATTGTTCTGACGCAGATCGTCCAGACAGTGGGGTAACCATGCAAGGGAGCAGCGCAAATTGGGGAAATGTTTGGAAAGGAGTGATACAGCAAATCAGGAAATTCCAAAGAACATCTTCTTATGGGACTGACCGTGGTCTATCAACTATGGCCAGTTTGGCTTTAATAGCGAGTTGCCTTTGAATTAAGCAAAGAGGCGCTGGCCTCCTGTGGTCTGATAGTAGTAGCGCTGGCCCCATGACCAAGAGATACCATGTATCTCAGTTTGTAACATAGCAGACTTCCTGTCATACTTTATTGTTCAAATGGGAAACTACTCCATGTAAATTCTTGAAAACCTCCATGATTTATCTTCTCTGTGCCAAGAAAACTTTGCGGAAAGTTCAAGCAATGATATTGATTTGTTCTCCTTTAAAAAAATAAAATGGGAGCAGAGATTTTTAAACACTTTAAATGAGATCGTAGTCTGATAGTTTCATTGTCAGTATATGCCCAACCTGACGGCATAGGGTAGGTGGCTATTCTCTTTACTTGAATGACGTTTTAAGTATCGCAATAAGTGGATCACATTAAGTACACAAAAGTACGTAATTATTTCTGTAAAATTATTTTTTATCATTGAGTATGTCACCATTTAAATTTTATAATTTTCAATGTTTTGTTTAACAATGAGACTTGCGTAACTCATTCTCTGTTTCCTCCCATTACAGATTCTTCAAAGATCGTCACTGGCTTTTTACAGAATTTCCAGAATTACTAATGGATCAAAATGAATCCACCTCAACCAGTGCTGCTGTGGATGAATCTGGTGGAAGGTTTAACGTTCTGGAAGTTGGCTGTGGAGTAGGGAACACTGTTTTCCCCTTATTAGAGTACAACTCTAATAAAAATTTCCATGTCTATGCGTGTGATTTTTCCAGTAATGCAATAGAGATACTGAAAGAACATGAAGGGTACAACCCGCAGAGGTAGGTACATATTCCTCTTCTCTATGACACATCAAATATTGTTCCACTTGTTCTTAACTTTTTGTGTTTGCAGTTGTTTATCTCCTGATTTGAGAATTTCTTGTTGTCATTTACTCACTTCCTCACTCTTATTTGTACTTAATTACTTACTCTTACTACTTAATTTATTTACTTTAGTCATCAGGAGGTAAACAAATGCAATCACAATAACATACACCCTGATAAAAGGAAATTCTCATTGACATTCCCAACTTCCTCAGGATTTAAATGAGTTCAAATTATTGTTCATATTCATGAGATGATACTTTCTTTCTCCAACAAAAAGTAGGCCACAACCCAGTCAAAGTACTGTGTAAGTCAATGAGCTGCGTGTATGTTCTATTGTTTGTTTGTTTTTTTTTATTTTCTCTCAAAAGAGGCCAAAGGATAAAGTTGAAAATTGAGTTTATAGCTTATTTTGTTCTTCAGAGGATAGCAGTATAATTGGTAAAGAAATTTAAATTAATTCACTTTTAAACTATGAAGGTACTTGAAATTGGAACTTTGTAGGAAATGAGTTTCTTTAGTGTAACCTCAGCTTTCCAAGAGCCCCTAAATTATGAATCTTAACCCTCTACTGCATCGCGTAGCCATATGGCAACAGCAATTATTTAATTCGTAGTAAATTCAGGAATGCTCATATTGGTACCCTGTGTGGATTATAGGGAACTCAACCGCATTACCAACCTAAAAAAAATTGTGGTGGGGGGAACTGAAGCTGCCAAATCAACTAAATAATCATGTTTTTCCAACGGGACCATTTTTGAGGAGTAGCCGCGAGGAGCCCAACTTTGAAGGATGTTTTGAATGACTTGGCTTGCCTTCAGAGACGGGAAAAAAATCACAGTTATGGCCCATACAGTCTAAATTGAAAATTTCCTGGTCCGATGATAATAAAAACAATTTAAATATTATTTTCGGCTCAAAAACGGCAAGATGCCATATGGCAACAACATACCGGCAAACTTCTGGCCCTACACTTTTCCTGTTGCCATATGGCAACAACATACTGGCTCCGACGCAATCATGTGTCGTGCTGTCCAAAAACGGAGCTTACAATTCATCATTAGATGCTTTTTGAATTTGGTAATGTTAGAAGAATCAAAAAAACTTTTTTTCTTAGTTTTTTTTTCCAAAAGTCCCGCACAAGAGTTATGCCCTGGCATCACCATTCCACTCCTGCACTGTATGTTGTTGCCATATGGAAACAAGTGGATACTCTGGCAAGAAATTACTACATGTTGTTGCCGTATGGAAATGAGCTTTTTTAAGCTTCAAAAGTTAAAGAAAAAATTGAAATTTCAAAAAAAGCTCAAAGACGTGTCTTTTTAATTACATTTTACTATAACATATATTTTTTTCATCAAAATCGGCGTCGCAAAAAAATTCCATGCAGTAGAGGGTTAACTTGCTTTTTATTATTATTAAATAATACCTTTTTTTCATTCATATTTTCCTTTGCATTCAAAATTTTCTCATGCTACAGAGCTGACTATTCTTTCACATACTGCATGTGGTCATCATAAGATAACGTCTAAAACATTTGAATACGGCAGGTTCTGTAGGACAATTTGAGTAATTTTTATACAAATCCCATCTAAATGATCTATTTTTTTCTGTACAGTCGTAATATGTCAATTCTATCTGCATTGAATCGAAAGCTCTTGCTAAAATTATGTTTCTAGCCCCTTAATCTTTACGAGTTTTGGGTTCTACACCAAATCAAATATGTAGCTCGTATCAAAAAGTGCTCATCATTGTCAATAAAAGAAGAGAAAAGAAAAGAAGAAAAAAAGTGTATTTCTTTCGGAAAATACACAAAAATCTCAGAAGATAAAGAAAAATGAATCCAGTCAAAAATGTTATAAAAAAAAATATATATTTTCGGCGCATTCAATTTCCTAAGAAAGGCCTGTAGCCATAATTATGAAACTTTTCAGTCTTTTATTATGTAGTAAAATATGACATTTTTTAAACCCTCAAGTTGGGCGCTTCTCCAAACAAACAGGGTTCTTGCCCACTTTTTCATTGTATGATGAAAAATTCAATTAAGAGAAGCAGAACACCCTAAAAAAAAAATCTGTGATGAAATGGAATTTTCTTATTTCTGAATTTGGTAGTTTTTGAAGCAAGACATTCGAATATAAACTGCTGATTTTCCCTAAAAAATGCTTACTTTTGTTGATATATACTCTTTTTTCCAAACGCTAGTCTATCCTCGTTTTATCACCTGTTTTTTCAGATGCTGTGCTTTTGTGTGCGATTTAACTGAAGACAATTGGGATCCGCCTTTCACGAAAGGATCATTAAATATTATCATCTGCATATTCGTCCTATCAGCAATAGCTCCTAATAAGTAAGTGTTTCAACTTCTCAGTTTTTCTCTGCATCTGAGGGGGAAAAAAGGCCTCCATGTTTCTTAGGTTTTATGGTTTTAAGGATCAGCAGAAGCGACCATTTACATAATATGTATTACATGAAGGATTGAACCTATAATCATGAATAGTTTAATGAACAAGAATAGTGTGGCAGCAATGATTGAATGGTTAGATGAAGAGGGACTAAAATGGAGAATGACGTGGGAAAATGGAGTGGTGGGTAGTTTCTCCTTCTACGGAGAAGACTTCAGCAAGATCAGCCAAGAGCTCCAAAAGGAGAAACTAGAAAGGTGGCTTGAGGCTCTAGACAAGGTATTTCAGCACAAGCAGTTTAATTTACTGATTAGGATGGAGAGTCCTGAAGGATTAAGAAAGAATGCTAGGTGTAGACTTCAGGCATAGGCAGGACAATGCAAATAAAATCAGAAAAGCAAGTTGGAAATTACCAATTTGGAAAAATCAAAATAAAAGAAGTCAGTTAGCAAGGTAGAACAACTCTGCAGTGCCAAGAAAAAACACCATATGAATTTTCAAGAGTCGCCAAATTTCCTTCACACAGGAAATTATGCAACGTCTGAGGACTTATATGAAGTTTTTCCTTAGCACAGAAGATTTACAAGAAAAACTAAAGGAAAAGTGGGAATTTAAGCAGAAATTCTATAACAGTCATGAGGATAGGGTAAAGAGATGGAAAAAGAAATGTTTCAAATCATTGGTTTCATAATTCTAATTTATCTGCATTTTTCTATGCTGTTTCAGAATGCAGAAGGTAATAGATAAATTCTATTACTATTTAAAACCAGGAGGTGTAGTTCTTTTTCGAGATTATGGAAGATTTGACATGGCCCAGTTGAGGTTCAAGTCAGGAAGATGTATTGAGGAAAATTTCTATGCTCGAGGAGATGGTACTAGAGTTTATTTCTTTACTCAAGGTAAGCCATTCGCATTGATTTGATCTCATTTGTCTTTGATGAGTTTTGCCCATGGTAGAAGGTAAACAGGTGAAGACATTGAACTGTCTTGAGTCTGATTAACTGGTCTGACTAGTACATCACAAGTCTCTGTGGAAGGCTTGTTACATTTTTCTTTGAATGGACCTCATCGATAGGGTAGAAAAGATAGAAAAAATTAATTTTGAATGGGTGTCACATACCCATGTGTCATGCTCTGTTAATAGGCATCTCTCGTAACTAGGGCCTTAAGTTAGCAGTATCCATAGAAACATCATTGCTTTTCCTTGGCATTTTAACCCAAAATGACGAGCGCATTTTCTAAAGAGTTAGGGGCTCCCATTTTTAACAAATTGTTTTCTGAAAGGACGGACTGAACCAAGGTTCTGAGAATTTTTCAGATTCTTTTAACCCTAATTGCTGAAAGAAACCTGTTTTGAAAATTTTTAGAATGGGATTAGTTAGAAACAATATTTTTGGAGAGTTCTGATGACATATTGAGGCTGTAAGTCAGCAATCACATATCTCGTTTGCGGTGTCTGAAAATCTCTACCTCCATGTTATTTTTTTAAAGGAGAACAAATTGACATCATTCCTTAAAGTGTTTGCAGAATATTCTTTGCACAGAGAAGAAAAATTTCGGCAGTTTTAAAGAATTGCCGTTGAGAAGTTTTCTGTTTAAAAAATAAAGTATGACAGGAAGTCTACAACATCGCTAACCGAGTTATGTGATTGCCGACTTCCACTGTCGATATGTGAAACTGGATTTCTTGATTGGTTGAATGCAGTATCAAACATTGCTTTGCTACAACGACTGAACTGTCAACTTTGGATTAGCTTTTCCTATCATCAGAAACGCTTTTTTTAACTTTTTCATAATTTTTTGGGGTTTTCATAAAATTTTACACCAGAAAATCTGTACTACAACCATGCAAAAATTTATCGCCACTTTCCCATTAAAATTGAGTCAAAATGTACGAAGAGCCATACTCTGTATCCTTTCTTTGCCTTGTTTTTGTCAGACAGTTTTCATCATCAATAAAGCTTACTTGAACTAATTATTTTTGAAATAAACGTGAAAGCTTAGCAACTTGTTTCTAAATTATTATATTCTGACTGTTTGAAATTTGTTTTCCTTTTTTTTGCAGGAGAAGTTCATCGGCTATTCACCTTTAGCGGATTTGTTGAAGAGCAAAACTTAGTAGACCGAAGATTACAAGTCAATCGAGGCAAATTATTACAAATGTATAGAGTATGGATTCAAACAAAATATAGAAAACCGAACACTGAGTAACTGCTGCTTTATAGAAGAACAGTAAGCAGTGCCTCTCAGATCGAGGTTTTTGGAAGAAGTGAATAAGTGTAAGTGGAAAATCCTGACCTTTCTCATGACTCAAGTGAAAGGGTAGCAGAAACTAACTTTTGGCATGAGCCAATCAGAACAGAGCTCCACATTGCTGCAAATCACACTCACTTTAACACTTTTCCTAATTGGACGTATTTCTATCAAACAGAACTATGTGCAGGTGGGAAAGATGAGGTGTGCTCATTAATGCTTGGGCTATAAAAATGAATGATAATGATAAAGCGCCAGTAACGTAGCCACCACTCCAGTATCCATTTGTCATCTTTAACTCATGCGCCATGTGCACTATGCTCTTGACACATGCCCGCGGCTCATGGAGTGTGCACATAGTTCCGTTCAACAGAATGTAAAATCCCGCTTTTCTAATTCAGCAAACGAACTGTGTGGTAACTGAATGCAAGACTCATGAGCCGCGGGCATGTGTCAAGAGCATAGTGCACATGGTTCATGAGTTAAAGACGAGAAATGGCTACTGCAGTGGCGGCTACGTCACTGGCGCTTTATTATTCCCGTCCATTCTCATGGCCCAAGCACAACGAGCCCACCCCATCTTTCCCACCTGCACATAGTTCTGTTTGATAGAAATACGTCCAATTCTAGCGTGGAACCAGAGTAAGTTGGTAGCGGCCATTTTTTTTTTTCTCATCTTTTTCAAGTACTGAGTAAATTGATTTCCAAGCAATTTTTTCGGATCTCTTTTACATGAAGTGATGGGAAAAATCAATTTTGAAACTACCGAAATCTGGACCTATTGAATCCTGGAGGACATAGGCCTTCTTATGTCATTAAGACTGTCGACCTCTGGTCAGTTGGATTTAAATCAACTTTTCCTCCCCTTAGACGTGCATTTTGAAACTTTTTATTTTACTTCTTGGTTTTTTCAGGAAATTTTGCATTGAGAGTAACCATCAGATACTGTGCAGATATTATGTGCCAGTAGCCCATCACACTAAACTATTGAGAAAACATCAGCTAAAAATAATACCTGAAAAAAATGAAGAAAAAATTTGCAAGCGAAATTCAGAATCGCTCTAAAATGGAACAGAATATAGGCATCTCAGCAGTCGACGAATCAACCTTGAACGAAGCTTAACTGATTTTTAAGCATTTGTAAATAATCATTTAATAATCGGTTTTTAAGTTAACATTATCATGAAGAAAGTCATTGAGACGTTGCAGTGCACTCAAGCTGCTCCGAAAAAGACAAACCTAGGATAACTTGTTTTTTTTAACTTGATAAAAAATCAGAAAAATACTATGCAAGTTTTAGCAGGACTCTTTTCACACGTTTGCAAACAGTTGTAACAGGTGAATAATGTTCCTCAACAAAGGAATTACTTCATCAATGCCAGTGCTGAATTCCTACCGTTTATTTTTGATCACAGACATGTGCCAAGGCTGTCCCAAAAATTCAATGTGAAAAGTATAGGCATCTAGCAAACATTTAAAAAGCCTGAAAGCTTAAAAGTGTTACAGTTTCTTTATGGGAGCAAGCAGCCGATTACAGCAGCAAATTCCATTACTACCAAGCTTCAATTTAAAAAAAAAGAAAGCTGTAATTCGTTAATCAGTAGATATTTTACATTGTAAGCCGTGCTGTGATAAATGTCACTATTATCTGACAATCCATTGACTGTATAAGATTCATACCAGTTCCCATATTCACCATGTCAGTAAATAAAACGTGCAGTTGGAACATTTTGATTTCTCTTGTCTTTCATTTTTTCCTTAGACACCGAATCATCAAGCTAATTTCTATTTGAAATATATGCTCAATGAAGGCATTGGATTTTTTTTTATTCTTCTAATTTGAGAGCGCAAGGTAGGGATGGCTGAAGTCACTAATCGACGGTGAAACTACCAAACCACGTATCTCGGTTTGCGACGTCGCAGACTTCCTGTCATACTTTATTTTTTAAATGAAAAACTACTCAACATCCAGTCTTGAAAATTTCTGTGATTTTTCTTCTTCGTGCGGAGAAAATTCCGTGAAAATTTCAAAGAATGATATTGATTTGGTCTACTTCAAAAAAATAAAATGTGAGCGTAGATTTTTAAACACCGCAAACGAGATACGTGGTTTGGTAGTTTCCCGTCGTAATGTGTATTGCTATGCTTGCAACGTTGCAAGTCTTCACTCAAATTTTATTTTATAATAGAAAAGCAAGCAATAGTTTTCTTTTGTAATTATCTGTGAATTTTCTTGGCTTCTTTAAAAATATTCTCCAAAAATTTTAAGAGGGTAATTTCTTGGTTTTTTCTTCTTTTTTTAAAAACAAATGAAATCTAATAGGAGATTTTTGTATGTTGCAACAAAGATGAGTATTGCTTTAACTTGAGCCATCTATACTTGTATCATTCTTACATGTTGCCAGTGATAATCGATGGTGAAACTGCAAAAATGCGTACCTCGGTTGCGGTGTTTCAAAATTTCCACTCCTATTTTATTTTTTAAAAGGATACTGAACCTATTTCGTATCTTCACATTTTCACAGAATATTTTCCACATGGAGATGATAAGTCACCGAAGTTTTCAAGAACTGACGTTTAGTGGTTTTCCATGTAAAAAATAAAGTTTGACAGGAACAAGTCTGCAATGCTGCAAACCAATGTACGCATTTCTGCTGTTTCACAATTGTAATGCTATTTTTTGTTTATTTTACTAAAAATAACTTCAGTAACAGCGTTTTAAAGTTGAAATGTTTGGTTTCAAACACATTTTCAGAGTTAAAATTTATCATTGTAAGTAAATGTCTCTTTTGTAAGTATCTTCAAAATTTTGTCAGGAAATGGAATGTGAATTAAATACATCAGAACAGTACCTACTGTCCTACTACACTATACAAACTCTATTATTCTACGTATTATCTAGTCAATTTCCAGGGGCATGGTATGCAACCCGCACCTACAATGCACTGTGAACTGATTACGTAAATGAAAAAGTTCAACTAAAAGTCAGGATTTTAAACTAATTGTCAAACGAATTGTGGAGATTTTCCTCTATGAGTGTTTCTTGGGTAATTTGTTGGATGCAGTCGATCCAAAAACATTTTCAATTCTGTACGAAATATGTATTCTTACAGGGTTAATTTTCAATTTTTATTACTACTGGTCGGGAAATTCCGTAGCCACCACGAGAGAACAGCTTGTTGAGTTTCTGTTGAAGTGTCGAGTCATCGGTGTGAAACTCGATGAGTATTTTGGCATACTCATGTCAGCGAACCACTCGTTTCAATGGGCAAGAATTGTAGTTTTTTGCCATGCCCGCTGAATTTAGTTGTAGTATTTGTGGAGCTTATGTGAAAAATTCACTACTAAAGGCGTGTTGTCAGCACTCCTTCCAACTACAGGTGAGTATCCGGTGAGTAAGCGATGGGGGCTGCTAAAGAATCCTGAGTAATTATGGTGCAACAACGCTGGAGTTTCGGCAGCCCTGCGGGGTATATTGTGAGAATGCTATCAACCCCACGCCCAACGATAGTCAAATCAACTTTTGCCATCGATGTGGCTAAATTATTCCGGAATCATTTCTTTTAATCTTGGTCGGGTTATTTATGAATGTTCTAGAAGTGGAAGCAATCTCGAGGAAACCTAGCCCTCGATTTTTGTAAGTATGTGCAACGATGAAGAGAGTGCAACTAATCCAGTGAAAATCTGACACCTGATCCATGATGGTCAAGTTTAGGGATGGGCTTTGTCATTCGCAGATGGGGTGTGGGTATCTTCCATGAAGTTTCTCGGCTCACCTACGTCGACGTCGCAAGGGGTTGAGGGGTTAATTCTTCCAACAGACATTTAATATTCGGCGTGCGTATGATTCAGCTTCATTTCGGTGTAAATATTTATTATCATTAGCGGTTCCTTGACTGACAGTGAGTGCCTTTGGATTGAAAACTTATCGCGGTGTTTTTTTTCCGATTTGGCTCATTTCGCGAGAGAAATTGAGTATGTGATATTACTCCAAGTCATTTTGGTGAGTTTTCCCGGTTGAAAAATTGGTGCACGTAAATTTCTATCCTTCCGGCTTGTCGAGTTGCAATCATCTCCATCTTCCCGGTATATTTTGTTTTGATTTCCGCAACGGCGCTGTCCCTAATCATCCCGAAATCATGAATCATTATTCAAGCGGCTCTCGGGCCCTACGTGAATTCCTCGCATGTTTCAAGGTGATACGCGATTATTGTTGCTCATGATAAGAAAGTTGTTCGAGTTTCCCATGTCATCGTGATTTAAGGAGCCGCTTGTTGGATTTATCCTTTCTGCAGAAAATGAGTGCTCGGTTTTCGGGAGCACGAATGTTTCTTCACCGAGTGGTTCTGCTGTAAACGGAATTTGTCGAGTACGATCTTCTCAATCGATAGTTTCTTAGTTGTGTTCCTTATTACTTACGGGGTGAATACTCCGAGTTGAAGCCGATGTAATAGTTGCATAATATCTTGCTTTCTTATCAGAACCCTCTACCTTTACAGCAAATTTTATTTGAAAGTTGCCACTGCAAGTTCAAGTTGTCACGGTAGGGCTGTTTGAGAGGGTGGGGTTAAAGTCTTCCTCACCCCTTTCAATGATATTTTCGTGTAATAGGTGACTGTTGTGAATTGTCTTGACTCTATCCAAGAGCATTGCTTGTTTCTTACTCTTTCACCTCATTTTATTGTACAGATTTGTCTTATCATTACACTTTGTGTTCATTTTGTAATATTGTTCTCTCAGAACAGTAGGCTGTGGTTGATTTGATAATGGTGGAAGCTCAGCTATCAGCTCAACTTCTCAGGGGTTTGTTCCTTTAATCCTGATTGCCTCCACTCAATATATCCAAACATGTCTTCAGCAATCTTATCTCAGTTCCATTCCACCTCAGTAATTTTTAATTTTTCCCTAAGGTAACTGCTCATGTTCACTATCGCAACTTTGACCTCTACTCATTGCATCTTTCAACTTTTCATGTTTTGAATTTCCACTTTCTACTTGTCGTCATCTTTTTTTTGTCTTGATGCAGTTGTCTTCCTATGATCTAGTGAATCATAAATTGCACATCAATATGAATGAGTAACTAGTGATTGGTGTTTATTTACTTAGCGAAGTAGGGTCATGTATCATCAAGAATGAGGTGAGATGTTTCTGAGGATAATAGCTGCTAATTGAAAACGTCAGCTGAATGTATGTATTCTCCTGTTGATTAATTCTGTCAATGGGCGCAGTATAATTTGACTCCTTTCAAATCATGATCTCTTACTGTGTATGTTTTTATTGGCAGTTAGTTAATACCTCTGCCAGTTGGCGACTGTGCCTCACAATTTAAGTAAAGCTTTCAAGATGAATTTTACCTCACTGAAGAAGGGTTTACAAGGCTCTTATGAAAAATATTTCTGTTCTTAGTGGTAATAATTCTAGTTGGTAGGAAACTAGTGATTATTTTTAAATTTTGATTATCTCCATCCTCAGTAGGAGCCAAGAACAAGTTTTTATTTTGGTTAATAACTCCGATTTGCGACTCATCCCCCCCCCTCACTTTTCTGTTGCCTGTGAGGCTACCATAATCTAGTCAACCCTGCCAGTGCCTGATTCTTGTAAGCATTAAAGCGAGGTTGATCACTCAACTCCTCTTTCATAGAGTAAAGTATAGCGGCTGAATCCTCTTAGATTTCAATAGCAAACCTTTACTACCTCCTCTCCTGTGACATAGCGGGAAAGAACTTCCATTAAATTCATTTTCTTATTCTCTCTGAAAAATTATGCCTACACAATGACTGTTCAAAAATTAGCTAAACTTTCCCAACTTGCATTGACATTTCTACAGTGGCCTGAATTTATTCCCAAACTTCACTTGTCTTTGATACTCCAAGTCTAACAGAATTCTATCTCTCATGTTTTAGATTTGATGTTGCAACAAGTATGCCTAGTGTTAGAATATCGCCTTCCATCTTGTCGCTAAGCTGTGATTCCTCCTAATATCATCACGGCTTCTCAGTGTAAGTGTACCCTATGTACTTGTGTCTCCTGAACTTATTTCTGTATCTGAAGACTTATTCGTAAGATTCATTTACTGAGACATTGTTGGAATGAATGATGGCCTTTTTAATGCCATTGTGGAGATATTCGGTGCCGGTATTTTAGCGGCACCAAAGATTTGTACCCCAAATAGCGCGGTATGGAGCACCAGTAGCACGTTTTGTGTAGACACTTGAATGTACTCAATGTTCCTCTATTTTTTTTATACTTGAAAGTATTAAATTATAAATCCTTTAAGGTTATCCACAATTCCTGCAGAGGTTGGTGAACCTTATAAGTAACAAACCTACTTATGGGTTTTCAAAGGTCTCAGTAATGTACAAGGATGTCGAGCATGGCCTTATGATCTGAGATGGCAAGAGACGCCGTCCTCTGCCTCTGGTATTGATAGTCCTGAGATGGTGACAAAATATTTTACCAGTATACTGTCCATTTCTCTAACCTTCAAAGCTGAAATTTATTTGGTCTGTGAAAGATGTAAAATTCTTTGAGAGAGTGGCATAGGCTGCTCCTGTTAGGGTGAAGCGCTTGAGCATTTGGCAGTTGATAGCTACACAGTCCAATGAGAAAGAACAGATTTCTTCTTTTAATTTTCTTCAAGAGGAGCCGTCTGATGCTCCAAGCCACTGACTCTCCGTTAGCCATAACCTGCTAGTGACGGATGCTTTTACTTGCTCATGTAAACAACGTTTATGTTCCCACTGGTACTCGTTAAATTTTGTCATACATCCTCTCTAATTCCTTGCGTTTTGTGCTTTTCCGAAAGTGGTCCTATTTTATAACTTCTCTTATTTAACAAACATACCCATGCTGAGCTGCTCAAAGAATTGACAGAACCTTAATCAAATAGCTTGCATTGATAAAAATAAAATCAATCTTCAACTTTCCTCTCCCAGATTTTTAATTCGAAAAAGTTTCTAAGAAATTCACATATTATTTTTCCCCTATAATCCACTTTAAATTTTTCTTTCTGCAGAGGGTTCAAAATTTGCAAGCAAATTCAGTTACTTAGTTGATACCATAGCAGACCTCAGTAAAGCCTAATTAATTAAAAAACAGAAATGACAGTGTTGTTGAAATGAGAGTGTACACCATGACATCAGTTTTGAAGGGTAAAAGGAAGAGTGCAAACTTCTATTCTTTGCTTCAATTGTGAAGAAGCAGGTGCACTAGGATGTGTTTAAAATTTAAATGCATAGTTGCAGTAAGTTACAATTCTCTCCTGAAAGTACAATCAACCTTCCCCCATTTTCAACTCAAATTCATGAACGTGTTCTCCTGGAGACGTAGAACGAAAAAACCTTTTCCCAATACATTTGACTTTTTCATTGCTGAAACACAGCATTTTGCACGGGGTTCCCCCATCAAATCCTTTTATCTAGGAGGCTTTCCTGTTCTTTTCTGTTTGCCTGGGTTTCACCCATCCTCGCGACCAGACTTGTTAGATTTTCACCTGTGAGATAGCAAGACCTAAATCTATTCCAAAATCAAGAATGCTCTTACGAGCACCTTGCACTGTTGCTGTTGTGATAAATAAAAACCGTTCACAATCCAAATCCAAATGAGACGTTTTCTCACACAAAAATTGTGCTTTCTTGAGTTGGAATATTAGGCTGTATAATGTTAATTTTTATATGCACAAGATATAACAACAAAGCACCACAAAATATATTTAAAAATCACTGTTTTTACAATTCTCTATGTTATAATCAATATTTTTATTATTTACAATATTTTGTTTACTTCCAGTTCAAACTGTTAAATGATCGCTCCATGGCATAGCACCTAGCATTGCTTTATTCAGCAGTTATCTTTTTCAAAAAATACCGCCTCCACCAATGTGTTTAAGTTATTGGAAGTCGCTTTATCAAGTTGTATCTTAATTTTCCATGAGAACTTTTTTACTATATCATGAAACAGTGATTTTTCCTTAAACTCTGGTAACAGAAAAGTGTAAAAATGGTCAAGCGTCTAACATGAAAACCATCTATTTTCTTTTGCCATTGTGCACTTTTTTTGTGCTTTCAATAAATTCCTATTGTATCAGAGCAATCCTCTCTTTTAAAGTACATCCTGCATCACATTTGATTATCATTTAGGCTGTGCAGAAGTTATTGCAATTTAAATTTATAACTCTCATCTTCATCTCATCTTTCCAGGTGTGTGTGTAATGCACCAACCCCCGATGCAACACGGAGGTGCTCTTTTTAACGCAACTCCGAACTTTTACCCGCGACCGCCAGCACCTCCGCGCCCTGCTTGTAGACCTCTGCATCCATTCACTAATGTAAGTCAATCTCTTTTTCTCACTTATTTTTTCAATTCCTTCAAAGCTGACCATCCAAAAATGAGACCTCACACTAGACATTCCATACACTCGACTCGATCCCATCACTGATTTTTGCTATTTCAACCAACTTGCAATAAGCTTGTTGTTTCTCAGTTTCCAATATTCTTTCCTCTCTCCCTGCTAGGGTTATGTAGAAAGGTGTAGTAGCAGTATACAGTGCATTGATAAGATCTCTGCAACTCCACTTCTCACATCAAAAATGCTCATCTGGCCCAGTAGTCTGCCGTGATAGCGAAGAGAGCAGTCAGTGTCAAATTTTTGAAAATTAGTTTTCTTAAAAATTCGTCTAATCTCTTTCAGATAAAATCACTGAAAAAGCTAAGACAGCAAAACTCATCTTTTATATATGAAAACAAGACACGTGTAAAAGCTGTAAGTGTGCAAAAAATAAAGAACTTTCAGGCAAGACAGCAGTAAGTGACATTTTTCCTCCAGAGAGCCAGTGAAAACAGTGCTTTCAAGGAAAGTGCCGCCCTCTTCTGCCAATTTCTAACCTGGAAATGTATTTTTTGTGTGTCCAAAACGCAACCATGAAAGCATGCAGAAGACAGCACCTACGGCTACCTTGCCTAACAATAGCCTAGCATGAAAATGAAAATACCCTTCTTCTGTAATTGAAGTGAAACCAGTCAATTTGTAATCATTCAAACGATTTCTAAGAGTCCTCTGTGTGACTAGTGGCAATCTGACAAAGAACAGAGGCTTCTTTCAATAAAATTTTCCGGTCAGCAGCTTCTCAGCTCATTTTCTCAAAATTTCATTTTTGCACTTAATGCACTTACTGCTCTCTTAGCTATCACGGCAGTAGTACAGATAAGGTATTCAACAGTGAAACTACCAGAAGGCGTACTTTGTTTGCGGTGTGTTAAAATCTCCGCTCACATTTTATTTTTGTGAAGGAGAACAAACCAATATCATTCCTTGAAGTTTTCAAGAATTGACATTGAGTAGTTTTCCATCTAAAAAAAAATAGTGAATAACAGGAAATCTACAAGGTCGCAAACCAAGATACATGGTCAGGTAGTGCAGGGTTGCCACGGTCAGGGAATTCAGGGAAAACCTGGAAAAGTCAGGGGAAAAAAAGTGCTCTGGAAAACCTGGAAAAGTCAGGGAATTTGACCAAAAACAACTAAAAGTCAGGGAAAAATTGACAATTTTCACGAGTTGCTTAAAATCTTTCTTTTTTCGGTTTTGAACGCAATAGAAAGTGCGATGAAGTGGCATATCTCGCGATGCATTCAAGAGTTAAATTATGCCAACGCAACAAGCAACGCAAATTGGAATGCCCAGTTTTTGTGTGTATTTTTGAAATTCCAACTACTACCGATGACTAACCACTAACCTTTTAATTTTCTTCTTTAAAGTAATTCGAGTGTCTAGGATTATTGCAAACGCAAAGCATCCAAGTTCTTAAAAAAATAAACCATTTGAAGCTCACTTTAAAAATAGGTGTTTGAAAAATCCTGGGAAGGGAGAGATAAATAGAGAAACGAACACCAGGAGAGACCCTTTTTTTTAGAGTGTTTCTTCAAAAAAACAATTGTTCAAAAGTTTTCATTTCTAAAACAATTATTGGGTTGCTCAAGAAAGTCAAAAGCATCAAAATTAAAAGAAAAAGTTAACAACCCTTTTTGTATTTCCAAATGTTCTACAATTAATTTCTGACTCCTTAGCTTAAGCGCGTTTCAAATGAGACGCTATATTAGTGTGATGGTAGCTAGCAAGGTGTAAATTTGGCTGTGCGATCATGGCGCTCGTTCTCAAAGGTCAGGGAATTTCTCCATTTTTCGTCAGGGAAAACCTGGAAAAGTCAGGGAAAATCATTTCCAAATTTTTGTGGCAACCCTGGTAGTAGCACTGTGGTATCGTATTCTAGGAAAGTATCACCCCTCTCAGTTACCCACAGAATTGCCTCATGGAGTGTTTCAATGTTATGTGATGAGGATGGGCGCAGCTAAAAACTTTCACTATATAAAAAATCCCTTCTTTTTTTCTGCGATTGGTAGCTAGCATATAATTCTTGCTGGGTGCTTTTGGCTTTTCAAACAAAAAGAGCTATAGGATAAGATGACTGCAATTCTGAAAATGAATCTTGGTTTCTATTGTAATGGGCCAACCATTAAAAGTGCAGAAAATGCCCAATTCTCTGATCTGCGCATCACAGCTAACAGGAGGCAAATCTTGGAATGTGAGGCAAAATCATAACTGTAAAAAGAAAACTCATGAAAAATAGTGGGTCCCTAAGTTATAAAAGTGTGGCTAGTTGCTATTTTACTAAGTCCACAATCTGGCAGAAACGTTGATTCGTGAGGAACAGTTTGAATCTTGGAACTTTTTCCGCTCCTGTCAAGAATAAGTTTCTAATCTGTATTGGTATGAAGATCACAGCGTTGTCTGCAGCTTGAGAAACAATAATGTAGCACCAATATCACTTGAGACAGTCTGAATTTCTAACAATTTTGCTGTAACAAGATGAATGCTTTTGGAATTTCCAGAAGCAGCTGGTTTTAAGAAAATTTCGTTTCTGTTCTATAGTGGTTTTTAAGACCTGGCAATGGGCTTTAAGCTCAAAATGGTCGTAGTTAAGATTTAGACTATCTTACCTAGTGCAAAAACGGTTTAGAAAAATTTATTCTCTCACTTCAGTCAATGCTAATACAGTAAAGCAAGATACAAATTAAGGCCAAAATGACATATCATTCGTATAATTGAAATAGTAAACTTAAACTCACGAAATAAACGAAATACAAAAGAAGTTTCTCATTTTTTTTTTTACTCTAACAGTTTTAGTATGTTATCTAGGTTTATTATAAAGTCAGTTAGGTACTGAAGAATTTCTATGCGTCCCTCTCATTACCCAGAAGCTGAGTTTAGCTTTTTATTCGATCCTCTTCCAAGGGTGGAGGAAATGCCCAATCTTGCAATGCTAGAATTGTAGAAACAGGGGGCAAAATCTTGGGTCGTGAGGCAATTTTAAAAAATGAGGAGTCCTTTTTTTCTCTCTCACTCACTGCCCTGAAAGTTCACATATCCTAGTTTACATTGGTTGTACGATTAATTTGAATTCACTGCTCCCAAGAAAAACAATAATCTTCTTGAATCAAGTGGCACTCTACAACGGTTTCGACAAACTTATTCTTCATTGAGGAATGTTTCTTTCCCGTGATTTGCGGGTTAAAATGTTAACCACGTAAAGCAGCTGAACATGAGCACCGAAATTAAGGTTTCCATATTTTCATTCTGCAAAGACTATTATGGTGAAGTTTAAGTAGTGCACAATTTATCTCAAGTAAACTTTGGTTTTTTCATGAGCGGGAGGTTTGAATTTACGCATCGAAAAACGTTAAAAAGCTTAACTATGAATTAGTTTAATTTATTTTCATTGTGTGAATCGTGCTCTGCGCAAAATTTTGGTCAGGAGATATGAGTCAGAATGCTTGGATTTGTACCTTGTCTACTGGTCCACTGGTTTGCAGATGCATTGTGCAATGGTATGTTTATACTCTTACAGCAAAAGCCAACTCCCGGCTGACTAAAGGGAATCATCTCCATTGACTTTTTCGACTTAGGAATGGTAAAATCTATTTCAATTCATGCAAGAGTGCTTGAGAATGAGCCTATTTCTGGGAAAGATACTCCTCAATGCAAACAGATACAGAAAATTATTGATCTTAGTCTGTCTGTTTGGAGCTCACATGGATGCACTGCTATGCTAAGGAAGAACGCTGTATGAGCCCTGAGACGATGCCAAATTTATTTTGATAAAATACAAAATTTTGGGGAAATCTGTGAATATTTTTCCACAAATTTCACAGGTTTATTTGCTATCAAATCTAAATTATCTAAAAAAATTCCAGAGAAAATATTCACATATCTCCTTATGAATGAACAGGAAATTTGCCGACTCTCAAACGTTTAGACAGCATTTTTCTTTAGCACGGCAGTGCAGGTGTTAGTTTTAATGTCTGGTCCATCGATTTTTCAGTCCAGTAATGGATACTTTTTACAGTAAACAGCAAACTGCTTGTTTCAACTATGAAAGATGTGCTAACCTAAAATTGTATCCAGATTGTCAAGTTGTTCTCTTGAGTTACTGATTAGTGTGATATTCTAGGCATTAAGGCTTGTTAATAATCGAATTGGGAGAAAATCCTAAAACATGGATGCGTTTTACTCATCTCAGTATTAACAAAGCTAACTCAGGGTCAGCCTTAAAACACAAATTTTTACACTTTGATGGAGCCAAGCCGTTACATATTAGGTACTGTAACATCTGTTTTGATTTACTCTAAGGAGCTGCGCCCCTTGACCCCCAAAGCGCTTCGCACTTCAGGCGTTATGCATCACCCATGACTTGGAGTATGATTAAGAGTCTCTAATATTTGTTGTAACATTCAGGTATAGCCAATTTACCGATTTGTTGACACAGATCACCTACATATTGTTGAACTTTATTTGAAGGATTCATTAAGTGACAATTAATCATTGTGTGAAAGGAAGCCAATAGTGAAAATTAGGGCGACATGGCAATGTCTAATCTTTTGAGAAAACATGGATTTGTAATACGAGTGGGAAAATGCTCTTTTTTATGAACAGACTAATGGCGAGTTTACAGCTCACTCCTTCCTTACCCAAATGATCTCTTGCTCAGCGTGCATCCAAATCCAGATCCAGATTCAACCCCCTCCCACCCCCTAGTGTCCTTTAATTATCTAACGGTTACACATTTGAGAACATAGGGGTGTGAGTGAATTTAATCGGTAGACAAACTCGGAAGAAAATCTGGGTATGACGAATCATGGCGTTTGCAGTACAAACTCTTCAAGGGGTGTTTTTTTCTCTTTTTTTGCAAAAACACAAAGCAACGTTCTGGCTCAAAATTGTGTAATTATGTTTTTTGTAGTCAAGAAATTTTTTTCGTAGATCAAGAAATGAAA